TTCACACCAAAAGCACACAGCCAAAATGTATGATGATGCAACCAACCGCACATCCAGCATGGGGGGGGGGGGAATAGAAAGCAAACAGCGCAGCCAGCACACAGAAAAGTTGTGAAGCAAGTGAAGAAAAAGATTAAAATTAGACGGCATTGACGGATTGTTAGTTGAGCATGCGAGGGGGATGAGAGTTTAAATGCTGCACATCGGTCTCGCTGCGTGCTCAGGTAAGTGGCTAAAGAAATTATGCCATAGAAATCCAAACATTCCCAATATGAAGAAAATGCAACACAGAAAAGGAAACAGACGGTGAACATGAACACTCTGCCTGCGTCGGACGTGTTTAAAATGCAGGACAGTCATTCTGCCAAGGCAAATGGCATACAAAAACGTCAGGGGAAAATAATTAACTTTGATACTCTTTAATCGATTAATTGAAATGCTTTGAGTAAAAAGAAAAAAAGAAATTGTTTTTTAATAGGGTTAGAACATATAACAGCCAAAAATGATATGGCTGTAATATTTAATTATAAAGGGACAGGAAACAACATGGACAAGTAGCAAATCCATCTCTTTATTCCTTAAAAAAGTTTTGTTATTTTAAAATAAATATAATTTACATGCACTTAATAGAGAGTAATCGCATTTATTAATCATCGAGTAAAATAATTTTAGCGTAATTTGAAGCAAAATTGTAATGTGAAACAAAAAGGGTGTTCTGATCAATTTAGTCCCAGTTAAACCACTTTAATAGCGACAGGTTAATTTGAACAGAGAAAAGCACCAAGTGAAATGACTGACTCCATTTAACACCAGGACTCCCAGAATTCTGATCCTACTAGAACTCCAACTGGCAGTCAATTTGACGGGTGACATTTTTCCCAATGGAACGCAAGAGTAGTGATATCAACTGAAATGGTTCTGCTGTGTCATATAAACCCATTGTGAATATGTAAATGTAGACCTTAAAACAGGTCTATTATATATACTTTTTAAAGGCTCTATTAGGTGCAATTATTATTTTTAGTCTAAATTTGAGTTAATAATAAATCAGTAAAAGAAATAAGACTGTTTTACTCCCGCACACCATTTAGACATAGCCAAACTTTTATTGTACAACTCTCATGACATTTCCATTTCTTAAAGTGCAGCAATAATCAAATGTCAACATTTTGAGAGGAAAAAATATGGCGCAAAAAAATGCATCGAAATGGTCAGTTTGATGCAGAGTCTGTGACATGATTTAGAGTTTTCTCAACAGTTCAGCTGTCTGATGGCGGTGGGGAAGAAGCTGTTTCGGAATCTGCTGGACCTGAACTGAATGCTGTGAGGCCTCTTCCCAGAGGGCAGCAGCGAGAACAGTCAGTGGTGGGGTCATTGATAATGTAATGGGCTCTGGAAACGCAGCACTGGACCCATAACATTATCAATGACCACCTTTTCACATTTATGACAAACATCCTAGAAGCGTTTTTTGTGCCACATTGATGCACCTGGCCCTTTTGTCTTTGCCATGCCAAAGCTGGCTCTTTTGGGTCTTAAGGGTTGGTAACTTGCGGCTCTCTGGAGTGCATGTGGTTGACATACAACTGTTTTACCAGTTCAAGGATAAAAGCTCTTAGTGAGACAGTGACCTTCAAAAAGCTCCTGGACAAAACCAACGCGTTCATAGCTGCTGTGTCCAGGAGATTGTAAAAGAGCCACAGGCCACCTTTGCTTTGGATCTTTTACAGAATACTTTCTAATCCGATCCAACACATCCACGCCAACCTATGTGCAATTATAGTAGAACATGGGCTCTGGTTTGGCTTTTGTACCGGCTGAGGTGTGGGCAGTACTATCCAAACCCTGAACAAAGCTTCCCCATTGTCTGATGGGTCACAGATACGTCTGCGTTTTGCAGGGGGTGGTTGCTTATTGTCAGACTCTGTCAGAATCTGAGCCGTTTCCTTGTTGTGATCATCGGTCTCTCCATCACCTCCCAAACCGCTATCATCAATATTTTGAAGCATTGCTAAAAACCTGCTACGATTTTAGATTTCTTCTGAAAGCCATTTTTCCATATAAGCCAAAGAGTTCCAGAGTTTTCTAGGTAGAACGGTACCAAACACAATCATCTATAGAAAGAATTTACGATGCATCTAATAAAGCTGTAAAGATGACGGCTATGAGATATCGAGTTAAATTAAACCATGTTTATTTTTTAGGTTTTTATTTTATTACAAAAAAAAAAAAAAAGTAAAAATGAAGGAAATACTGCAGTCAATTTGCGGGTGACATGTTTCCCAATGGACCAGTGTGTGTATCAACGGGTCTGCTGTGTCATATAAGCCCATTGTAATATGTAATTAGCCTTTAAACAGTGTCTTTATTATCTTTTTCTCCAATTACGTGCATTATATTTTGTCTATTGGTTAAAATAATCAGTAGAGATGTTTACTCGCACACCATTTGCAAGCAAAAACTTTTACTTTCAACTCTATGCATTTCCACTTAAAGTGCAGAAATCAAAGTCACTTTGGAGGAAAAAATTGGTCCAAAAAAGATGATGTCAGTTTGACAATTGGAAGATTAGAAGTTTCTCAACAGCTTCCTGTTGTGGCTGGGGCTGTTCGACTCTGGACCTAAGAATTGAGCCAAGGAGCCAACATCAGTGCAGATAAGAATGGGCCCTAAACCAGCACTGGACCATAACATATAATGACACCTTTACACATTAGACAAATTCAAGAAGCGTTTGTGGATGAAGTGGCCCTTTTGTCTTTGCCTGCCAAACTGCTCTTTGGGTCTTGGTTGTTTCCTCTGGAGTGAGGGAATCAAAACTGTATTTCAGTTCAAGTAAAATCTTTGGACGACCTTCAAACTCGCAAAACCAACCGTTTCTCTGTTGCCAGGGAAAAGAGACGCACTTTGCCTTGGATCTTTTACAGAATCTTTGACACAAGAACTAGTGACATTAAGTAGAACATGTCTTTTGCATTTTGTCGTGGTGTGGGGTTCTTCCAAATGACAACTTCCCCATGTCTGATGTCACAGATACTCTCACTTTTTGCAGGGGGTGTTTGTTTATTTTCAGGATGCGGTCATGAATTCTTGGCTTTCCTTGTTGTGATCATCGTTCTTCCTTCCCTCCCAAACGCTATCATCAATATTTTGAAGCATGCTAAAAGCCCTCTACGATTTTAGATGTCTTTGAAGCCATTTCCATTATAAGCAAAGGTTCCAGAGTTGTCTTTGAAGGACAACAAATCATCAAAATTAATTTGAGTAATATTCTAATTTTCTGATATGATGAATTTGAGATTTTCATTTGTTGTCATTTGTAATCATCAAAATTAAACAAAATAAACATCTGAAATATATGAGTTTGTATGTAATGTATGAATATAATATACAAGTTTCACTTTTTAAATGGAATTACTGAAATCAATCTACTTTTTCATGATATTCTAATTTTATGACCAGCACCTGTACAGAAAGAGGAAAAGTCAGTTAACATGACCAAGGTAAGATTAATGTAAATAAGCTCTTTCACTTCAAAATCTCAGAACAGTCTAAATGACTGCCTTGTATGTTCTAGTGCTGAAACAGCTTTTCTATTAAATCATCTTTTTCTTTCTTCACTTGAGGATGAAAATGGATAATTCAAAGGTCTTATATTATAAAATAGAGGTTCACTGTAGAGAACTTTTATATCCACTGTAACAATACAAGATTGAGGAGGAGACGATATACCCCCATTGACACAATAAAAGAACCAACAAAAGAAGAGATCAGAAAAACGGGCCAAATCAGACACAAACAAAAAGCTGAATTTTAATGGGAACCAACAACTGGCGTTCATTTTTACTGACTTTTTTTTTTTTGGACAAATATGAGTCAAAAACAAAGGGTAATTATTTCTGTTTGTTTTCATAAATCAATTAGGGCCAATAAAACTGATTCCCCTATTATTAATGTCATTCCCAGAGTGGAAATGAATTGCGAGAGCCTCATTAACAAACTATGGGTCATGCAGTGCGACCAAAATAAAATTCCTGCCGTTAAACATCCAACAGCACCCAGGAGAATAGAAGATTGACTCCAAAGAGATGGAAATTACAGTCAATTCAGGAGCTGAAAAATTTTCAACACCGTTTCAGATTAGGAGCAGTAAGATGAGTTTGCATTTATCCTCTCCTCCATTTTCTGGACGGAATTCTTAAGACCCACTTTAATATCTCCACAGCCAATGATCCCATCTTCATTTCTTTTCATCCAAACCTCTCTCAATCCACCACTGAATATCAATAAATTAATATTTCCTCTCCTTTCCATCCCTACTATCGCCTCCTTTCTGCTGACCGTAAACTCACTCTAGGACTGAATAATTATTTCCACCTTTGATTATATTGCTATTTGACACATTGCTGATCAAAAAGAAGAATGCAGGGTATTGCTGGTTTAGCATTAAAGCTTTCTTTATCAGCTGTCAAAGGATTATAAAGAGAAGTCCAGATAGTGAGATGTAAGGTCTTGATATGCTTTAATATTCCTAACAAACTGAAACACATGGTGAAAAAAAAAAGTTTATCAAATACCTTTAAATAAACAACCTACTGTTTTTATGGCTAAAATGCATTATGGTTTTCTTCATCTATGCTTGCAACTCACACATTTTTAAGCTATATCCAAGCAGAAATTAAGATTTCTATTTCTTATTCATTGCCTTGGTCACAATATCAACTTACAATATTTTAAATAAACAGCTACCTGCAGGTGTTGCAAATATTAGCATCAAAGAATTATATAAAACAACGACAAATCCAGCTCTCTTAAGCGTACTATTAAGTTATTCATTTTTACATATGCCCAAAAGTAGACTGCTGTCTTCTACTGTCTGCTGTGAAACTCTTTGTATTAAACTGAGATAAAATTTGCAGATCTGTATTTACTCACACTAGTTTCAACCAAGTACCTGAAAAGTAATTAGTCAGATTCAGCTTTGAACATCATGGACTTACCTCTCTACGCCGCGATGCCCAGCAGGTCTGTTTGATCTTCCACACAACAGCCGCCACCAGAAGTAACGACAGAAAGCAACTGTGATGACAGAAAAAAAGGGCACGATTAATAATGGAAAAACAATTGTCTTTAGTAATTTTTTTTTCTTTTTTTGAGCTTGATAGTAGGATTTATAGCAGAAGAAGCAGTAAGTATTAAAGATATTCAGTTGTATTAAATTTAGGAAGTTAAAGAATACATATTTCATAATATTTCAATTATTAATCGTAAATGTTATTGAAAACTAGAGCAGAAAGCAAGTCAAAGCAAACCTTACTCTGTAATATTTACTTGAAGTAGGTAGAAAAATGAAGGTAGAAGTATAATTTTGGCTCAGACTGAAATATTTTGGCCGATTACTTCGATTAATAACCCAACACTATGATCATTAGTCAAAGAAAAGTCCGCATGATCCAAGCCTATCTGGGAGGGACAAATTGACTGATTGAGAGCTTCCACTTCATTATCTTTTTGACATGTAATGTAAAGATGATTATGCACTAAAGAGATTGAAAGAGCTGAAAAAAATCATGAACTTCAAGATTTTACATGAAAGTTCTCAAAGAATTTTCCACTTATATTGCCGTTAAAGCTCTTAAGGTATTTAAAAAAAAAAAAGCCAAAATATGGATTTCTTTTCTCTAAAGTCCAACAACCGCAAATGGGAGTCATTTATTATATAAATGGATATCAGAAAGATACTGGGCTTGACAAAGAACTTGATGCATTTAATCAGATGCTACAGTAAGTCCTTCATGAAAAAAGTAGGAAAAAGTCTGCAGAGGACAAACTAGAAAAGGAGGAAAAAGCCGTATATTTCTGAGAAAATAGTGTTTTCTTTGTATTGCTTAATGTACAATTTTTAAATAAACCGCTCAATGCTCTAAATTAGTTTTGGAGGTTCTAAAATGCTTATCTTTGTGTTTAAAGTCTTTTACTGTAAAATCTCTCCAGCATTTGCATAAGATAAAAAAAAAAGAAGAAAAAAAACACAACTAATTTATCTAAATAGCTTAGGCTTGTCTCTTGACAAGCTTTTCTAATGTGTGATGACCAATAAGGTGCGTGCTTGAAGAAAGTAAATGGCTACTTATGCCGATAGTATTTCTGTGGTACAAAGCCTAACTCATGCAAACACAGTACTTATTGGTGGCCGCAAAAAAGGTATAATGTATAATGTGCAGGTTTCTGTTGAGAGGTGTAGGGGGGCATGAGCTTTTCACTTCACCTCGCTCTTCAATAACAGCCATGCACATACTCATTTTTTTCACATAATAAAATGAGGCATAGTCAAGTGCATTTTTTTCACAACAGAAGCATTTTTACTGTCCTTATAATATTTGGGAGCTTTGGCCCACCACTCTTTTCTCTAATTCATTCTTTGAGTTCTGGTCAGGGTAGAGATTCAGATTACAAACCTAATGCTGTGGATAATGATAAAGGTTAAGAAATATGGCATTGTATAAGAGAAAGACAATAAAAACAAATTGATCAAAATCAGTAGTTGGATCATGCATAAAGATGCAGCATAACAAGCCCAGTTACAGATGAAAATACACTGACCACTTGAGGCTTGATGAAAATCAACTGTAGTGAATGATCTAGAAGTCACTCGTGTTTAAAGACTCCAAATCACCTCAGGGGGGCAGGATCTGGTTATTTTTTTTCTTCTATAATTTTAAAGATGTTTACCCCAACAAAGACGGTATTTTATATTCTATTTCCTCTATATATATATATATATATATATATATATATATATATATGTGTATGATAGATATATATCAATCATACATATTTTATATACATATACATATGTATCAATTTGTGGGACACTGACTGAAATGAAAAATGGGCATCAGTCCTGCAGAAATAGGGACATTTGGTCACATTTAAATTCCTTTTATTAAAGAGAAGTCCTTGCAATGTCATTTTTTATTAATAATAAAGTTAAGAGGTTTCCATATAGCAATGCTTACGCTCCAGTCTTATGTCTGCAGAAACCAGTGTCCCTCTTTAGTGATGTGCCAAACACAAACGTAAAAAAAGAAAGAAAAAAAAAAGTCTCTCTGGAGGCAAACAGCCATCTTAACTATCATTGGCCAATTTGTTTGATATGTAAGCTTTAGATCGCCACGCGTTCCAGATGTGTTTGCTCGGATGTTTGAACACAGTGATAACCGTGAAGATCAGTAAACAGAGTGGAGACGGTTGAGACTGAAGTGCCTAAAAGACGGCCTGTGATTTTGAAGAGGCTTAAATACTTGCCTTGCTTTTAGGGAATAAATCTGCAAATATAGCATACTTTTTATTTTGTTGAACAGGTAAAAAAAACAGCAGGTGTTTGATGTTCTAATATTCACATCATTTGGATGATTATTTCTAATTCCTACTAAATACCCTTCAAAAATGAATCTACGGTAGTAATGCTAATCAGCTGTTGACCTTTTAAAGGAAATTGGATCTCTTTAACACACATCTGCAACTACCTGACAGGGAAAAATGAAGCCTTTCAGGGTGCTCAACAAATAACCAAGGTCCTTCTTAAAATAATTCAGACATTCCTCCTGAGTTGTAGTGATTCTCTAGAATGTTATGCAATAATATTAGAGGAAAAGTGATATACTTTATTGTAGGTTGTGCATGCATCTTAAAATGTTTTGATTAAAAAGATAACATGATCTCATATTAGAAGAAAGAAATTAATGCATTGGAGAAGTCTTGATGTCCAGTCCTCCCTCTTTATCTCTCCTTCAAGGAGCTCTAAAAAACCCTGTGGGGCGATTTGACATTTTGTCATCAGGCTGATTATGTTTCCAGCAGGTTCAAGTCTCTTCAAATCTTCCCCCCACATACACAGACACACACTGTCTCAACCTCCCCCCCAAAAAAACTCATTAGTTAATCAGTGCTTAGCTGTGTGTTTGTTTTTTCCATTCTTGGGTTTATGGGTCAGTGAGAACTAAACAACGTGGATACAGACAAAAGCTAAATGGAATATGATTTGTCTACCAAATGGGGGAAAAGCAAACAGTCTGTTTCATTTGGGGTATAATATTGCATAAAAGTGAAAAGGCAAAAAAGAAACCACCCATCTTAATAAAAAAACTGATAATTTTATATATATTCAAAAAATGTACAGATGAAGTCTGTAACATGAAGTCTGTTGAACTTATGATATATGCATTCTTAAAACACTGAGGAAAGTAACTGCTAATCTGTTAGGTTAACCCAGTGGTTCTCAAACTTTTTCTGTCATTCCCCACTTTGGACAAGGGGGAATTTTCAAGCCCCGCCTGTCCCCATCGCCCCAACACAATGCTAATGAAATATGCAACAATCTTAAAATTTTCCAATTTTATTGAAGTAACAAGTAGTATCTAAATACAAACTATCTACATCAAATAACAGCAAGCTCAAAAATAAAGAAAATAAAAATGCAGCTGTGTCAAAATTTGTATCAAGCTCAAAGATAGAAAAAATTAAAGTGCCACTCTGCAATCTGTTAATAAAAGAAAAGAAGTGAAATCCATCTGGCAATACAGGTCTATTTATCCCTGCATTAGTGGCTGCAATGAGCCTGTTTTGCATTGCACAGTTTCTCAAAACGGGGTTGCAGGCTTGATACTGCCACTCTCAAGTCATGCTCAATGTTCAGCTGAGATCTGTATTTTGTTTTCAGTGAAGCAACAGTTGAAAAGCCCATCTCACAGAGATATGATGTGGCAAAGGGAAGAAGAATGCACACAGCTCTCTGCCCGATGAGTGGATACTCCCTCTCCACTCCAAACCAGAATTCACTATTAGTCTGAGCATTAAACCTGAGCCTCAGGGTGGAGTCAGACGTAATTTCAATAAACTGGTCCTATTTATTTAAGATAAAATATTTCAAATTCAGTTATTTATGATCAACCTGCGCCGTCAATCCCGGCGCATGTGCGCTTTATTTGCAGTCTGGACGCTGAGGGTAAACATGCTGTGTCTCTGCAGCACTGAGAGGGACTTCTGCGATAGCGGGGGAGAACGGGGTTGGGACGGAGGCGCCCCACGGCAGCACCTGCCGCTGGAGGACAAGAAAAGGAACGATACGTGCTTTCACGTAAGAGTCTCCAAAAGTCGCTAATTTGTCGCTAGTCCCTTTTTTAAAAAGAGTCGCTGGAGGGGTCTAAAATATAGCGACAAAGTCGCTGAGTTGGCAACACTGGGGCGCGAAAGTTTATTCCGTTACAAATAATATGCCGACGTCACGTCAATCATTATTTTGGCACTTCAGTTCCAGGTGAAATTTTTCTCATATCTAATGTTCTTTTAATTAGACTGCATGTAGGCTACTAATGATTACTTTGTGGGTTTGATTGGTCTAAAAAGCGGCAACATACAGCTTTAAGGACAGTTTGCTCTCACACATTCTATATTTATAGTCTCACACACACACACACACACACACACACACACCGGAACTTGGCGCGCCCCACCTGTCACGTCTCAATTCCCCACCAGTGGGTCGCGCCACACACTTTGAGAACCGCGGGGTTAACCTGTGTCAATTATTTATTTAGCCCTAAGGTCAATGTTGAATTTTTCATGTTTTCAAAATTTTAAATTTGCTTAATTTTTACAAAATAAGCTAAACCGTGTCCTTGAGGTTGAGTGATTAGATTTTTTTTCTACTACATAGAGTCACTGTTGTACCAAAGGCATTTTTTAGCCATTGACCCCAATTAAAATCGAGTTGAATAAATGCTATAAAAATAGGTTAATTGCTGTAAATTCATTTGTTTTTCTTTTTCATGCCCTACAGTAGAAATCCTGAGAGACGAATTTTTTTCACATCATTTTTCTTGTAACATATTTCTACCCATTTGTGTCAAGAAATAAAACAGGTGTTTACTTCTAAAATATCTTCCTATGGGTAAGTGCATCTACTCATTAATCCCCCCAAAAAAATACACAATTTGAATCTATGTTGCAGCCAACTATTGACGCTGAAAATGCATAAAGCTAACAACTTGCACATAAATTGAAAAAATATAAACCTTATGTGCTTTTGTCCGATAAATAATGATCTACTAGTTGCTGCAGGTTCTAGGTGGTGAAGACTCTGGTCCATTCTGTTAGCAATCAAAGGTATGAGGATATTGCAATACTTTTTTTTATATATATATATAGTTGCATGTCTTGAACAGACTTTGGTTATTTTATCTCTTCTTTTTTTCCCTTTCCTCTAAGAAAGCTGAAGCTTGGGTATTATTTGAACTTGAAATCGATCAAATATTCCAAGCAAAACTCTAAGCGAACCAAGAGTTGGCGAAATAAGTCATGGAAGATATTAGAGCTACCATCCTATTCAGCTTATTTCACCTTTTATGCTGGTTTCAGCATTAAAGCAACAGAACAAATAAACTAGAGGCATTTACCAATGAAGAGTGGGCTGAAATCCTCCAAGACAGATGACAGAATTCTGGCAGTGAATCCTGTTTGCAGCAGGTTGTACCAAACAAAAGTGTGATTTACTGCTTAAGATGCCTGTAAAGGTTTGAACTAAAATCATTTCTACAAAAAGGAGAAATCACTTCCAGTATTAACTGGGGTGGTAAATTCCTGTTGTTGGAGTCATTCCAGTTCATATATTTTGCAAATATAAAATCTAAGCCTTAATTTAGTTAATTTTACTTCTTTAACACAAAGATTTGACCTAAGTTGAATTAACTTTATCTGATCAGAAGCTTTGTTGGATGCTTTTATTACTTTCAATTCAACCAGAATATTTAATGGAGTATTATTAACCAAGTATTTTACAAATACAATCATTTTGAAAATGATATTTAATTAATGATTAGTCATTTTAAGAATAAAAATAAATTAAAGCGGCTCATTCAGACCACTTTTCATTCCAATGCTTTGTCTCACAAGATTACAAGACTTGTGTATGTCCATTATGTGGATGTAGCATTAGCAGCTTTCCATGATTTGTTTACCATAATTTATTGGCTCCTTCTTACAATTTTACACACAAGCAGCAACATTTACCAACTATCTGCAGGTGAGCCTATATTTGTTGGAATCACCCCTTTTGGTGGAACAGAGATGGGAATGCTGATAGCGAGACGGACTAAAGCTAGTACCCTTCCAGTATTCACATTAGTAAAACAGGAGGACCAAAATTACGCTTTTTGGAGGGTGCACTCTTATGAGTTTTTCTGGTTTACATAATGAGACCGCATACAAAAAAAAACCAAGGCACTTTCACATTACAGATTTTCTGGCAGGTTTTACTTGAAGCCAAACACACATTTTAACATAAAAAAGTCAAATTTCCAGTAACTGACATCAGTTTATAAACAACATCCTATTACAGAACAACTCAGGAATTTGTTATTTAGATGGATTTTCATAAATATTGAGACCAACTTGAGTTTTGATAAATTGAGACAGAGTGTAACATTCCTTTAATTAAGCAATAATTAATGTTTAGAACATAAAAACAAGAGAATCGTGTTCTTTAACTGGTGTGATGAGTGTTTGTTCATTTAGATTTAGGCAATAAATAAATTCTAAAGTGATAATAAAAGTTAAATAATTTGAAGGTTCTTTTAACCTGTGTAATTGGCAGCGTAAATGACAAAAGTAGTCTCCTTTCTCAGTTTTCTATCCAAAGGTTTCATGATTTGGGCCATTCATGCTGTAATATGATCAGCTGGAGGCACAAGCTAAGTGACTGCGTGACAGCTTCCCTGGAAACGTATTGTGGATTGGGCACTGATGGACAGGTGCCTCGGGCAAAGCTTGTCTATTATGCCCTTTGTGATGCCTACACACAGAATTTAGGCAAACCGGAACCACACACTTTTAAAAGAAAATAAGCGCATGAGGAAAAACTATACAAGGCTTGTGTCTTCTATGATAATACCAGCAAACCAAATCAAATGATTTGGAGGATACAGGTAGGAAAAAATAATGCAGGCAACAAATCAAACTTGTAGAGTAAACAAAAGCAGATATGCAGGAAATCTCACTGAATCATCTTTATGTACTCAGACCTTAATGCGCTTTTAAACAGCTCGACTGACTCATTAAAAACATTAAAATAATGAAAGACTTCAGTCATAGCTCTGAGCAGGGAAAAAAATCCTGAAGAGCCCCCATATCTTGATCACCCACACCTTCTCTCGAGATGCCACTTACAAAGAATTATGCACCTTCTTAAACTGTTACTGGTAGTTAATTTGCCACTTTAAAACAAGGAAAATTGTACATACTTAGTTAAGAGGGACTCAAATAACGCAATAAGTAATAAGAAGCATAGGAAGAGAAGGAAGAGGTGGATAATAGTCATACTTGACCGATTTAGAGCATATAAAAGTATAGCCTATATATAAAAATAAAGGGACTTTTTCTTGGTCTCTATACAGTTTGTTTTTAATGGAGCATGAAAGTTTGGACTCCGGTCACCAGGTTTACTGATATTCCTTATCTTTGCTGACTTAAGTGTTAAAAAGAAATCCAAACAAAGGACATAAGATGAAGTATTAGTAAAGCTTAAACTCGAAATACCCTTTCTTTGTAACTACCATTGAAGACACCAGGGGCACAGTTTATTTATTGCTTAAATTGTGATATATAAACAAAATAAATTACAGTGAACTTGACAGTGGGACGATGATCTTGGTCTCCCAAAAAACCGCGAGGTGTTAGTAACTGCAAAAGTAGCGCAACCCTTTTATAAAACAGTAGTAGCTCGAGGGTTTGGGCATATGTGATGCACATCGTTGTCAGCATGCACTGTCACACACAAGCTACTGACGCCATTTTCAGTTTTTTAGCCACTGGAAGAGGAGCACATTAAGCTACAGACGTACTGTAGACAGAGAGCAGTTTAAGTTGTAGATGACTGAGAAAAACATACATTTTCAAGAGAAAATATTTAAATCTTAGCTCAACGAGCTACTCACGTCCAACCAAAGTTTATTTAACTCATTTGGTAATGTTCAGTCAATTTCCAGCAGTTGAATCAACTTTCATTATGCTATTCATATGTTAGCAACATCTTCGGCTAAAAACAAAACCTTTATTCGGTGTTGATTTTTCAGTGTTGGATGCTGAACCCACATTTTTTGCCTGATGCCTGAGCTCAACGCAGAAGGACGGCACAGAGCAGATTGCAAGGGACAGGAAGTCATCCGCAGAAATAAAATAAAACATCAGGTTTGTTTTTAAAATAATAACTTTTTGTGGTAACTTTTAAAGCCTTCAAGAGTCACCATGGTCCTTCAAAAAGCCACAGAATGCCCAATTTCTATTCAATGTTGTCGACTCCTATATTCATTTATTTTAGCTAAAGTTTGCATATTTTATCTTCTTTATTTAACATGTATACTTATCAATAGCTAGTTTTACTATTTTATACTAGATTAATGTTGAAATGGCAGTTTAGCATTTGACTGAGTTGTTATTCTTAACTAAAGGGAAACAGAATAGGGAGAAAAACATTGAGTTAAACAGAGTTCATCTTTGAGCCAAGCAGCAAGAGGAGCAGTGAGGAGATAGAGGGAGAGAAGGTACTACAAAAGGAAGATACTGCACCAGTCAACTGTATATGTTTAAAAGTCAGATGTTTAATGCATGATAATTTAAGTATTGTGTAAGACTATAATAGAAATATGTTCAAAAGCTTTCCTTAACAAGAGTGAACAGATTAGGCACCATCTTCAACATAATAGTGTAATGGGGCTTCGGTGTCTATTTAAAATACAGAAATAAATTTGAAGCAACTCATTTCAGTTATAATGGAATGGCTTTTGTGACACAATACCTGTAGATAGAAGCTTCAAAAGAAAGATGATATAAAATAAAGTATACAATGTCTGATATATTTGGCATGGGAGAAGAGGAAGAGAGAAATGCATCTTCTAGCATATTCAAAAGTCAGAATCATGTTGTTTTTGCTCCTTAAAACTGGACAGATTTAAATGATGGAATTAAAATGTTTCTGGGAAGCCTGCCCCCTAACCAGCTACAAAGTTCTGACCCTTGACCTCTGTATTTTTTGGACCCTGCATACAGCCCTGCCTGTGGCATTGCGTAGGTGTAATAGAAGCCCAGATCACTTTCCCATCATCTGCTTTGTTAAGTCTGGTGACTATCATCCTCCTCTTGGCAAAAGCCCATAGATTTTCTATGGGGTTGAAGTCAGGGGAATTTGCTGGCCAATTAAGAGCAGGAGCACCTTTAGGCTTGAGCCAGCTATGGCGACCTGTGGAAGTCTGGGCAGCAGCCCAGTCCAAATAGAAACAGCATCTCAATAGAGCTTGACAGTACAATAAAACCTAAAGTCCTCTAGAGTTTCCTGATAGATGCTTGAGTAACTGTAGACTATAGTCTTTTTTCATTTTGTATTATTATATGGACTTAATGGTTCTCTTTTTCATGCATTTAGAGTTTGTTCTGCTTATGATCAACCAAAAAAATGCACTGCAGGGGGAGATTAGTGTCTCTATGCTAGAACCTGACACCATAAATATGTCTTTCACTTCTTTTAAGTCAAAGTAATATTTTTCACTGTCCCTGTACAAATAAAATCTTCTTTAAAAATTTTTTTTACAAAACTCAAATTTCCCATGACGAAGATTTTTGGGTTTACCCTTTCTGTACATCGTAATCATCAAAACTACAAGAAATAAAGGCTTGCAATATATCACTTTAGGTGTAGTGATTCTATACCAGTTTCATCTTCTGAGATGACTGGAATACATGTACGCGGTATTCTCATTTTTCCATTGTACCTGTATTTAAGACGAAATAGTAAAGATTAGCTGAGAAAGTTCACTTTATTTATACATATATGGAGTAAAAAAGTGGTTATATTAAACTGTAATGGTGATGTGTTATCTTTCCTACCAACACCAAAAGCAAAAAGTGAAAAAGAGTAAACCAAACAGTGCTCTTACCTGAAAAAGGTCACAAAGAATTGGACGAGGTCCATAATACTGTTGTGTTGGGAGAAGGCAATCTATTGGAGAAAAAAGGAGACAGATTCAGTATTTCTGATTATGACCGAAATCTGTCGATATGAGGGAAGGTTATTGAAAAACATAGAAACCTCTCTCTCTCTGTATGCATACATTCATATATATACACTATATTGCCAAAAGTATTTGCTCACCCATCCAAATTATTGGAATCAGGTGTTCCAATCACTTCCATGGCCACAGGTGTATAAATTCAAGCACCTAGGCATGCAGACTGTTTTTACAAACATTTGTGAAAGAATGGGTCGCTCTCAGGAGCTCAGTGAATTCCAGCGTGGAACTGTGATAGGATGCCACCTGTGCAACAAATCCAGTCGTGAAATTTCCTCGCTCCTAAATATTCCACAGTCAACTGTCAGCTGTATTATAAGAAAATGGAAGTGTTTGGGAACGACAGCAACTCAGCCACGAAGTGGTAGGCCACGTAAACTGACGGAGCGGGGTCAGCGGATGCTGACGCGCATAGTGCGAAGAGGTCGCCAACTTTCTGCAGAGTCAATCACTACAGACCTCCAAACTTCATGTAGCTCAAGAACAGTGCGCAGAGAGCTTCATGGAATGGGTTTCCATGGGCGAGCAGCTGCATCCAAGCCATACATCACCAAGTGCAATGCAAAGCGTCGGATGCGGTGGTGTAAAGCACGCCGCCACTGGACTCTAGAGCAGTGGAGACGCGTTCTCTGGAGTGACGAATCGCGCTTCTCCATCTGGCAATCTGATGGACGGGTCTGGGTTTGGCGGTTGCCAGGAGAACGGTACTTGTCTGACTGCATTGTGCCAAGTGTAAAGTTTGGTGGAGGGGGGATTATGGTGTGGGGTTGTTTTTCAGGAGCTGGGCTTGGCCCCTTAGTTCCAGTGAAAGGAACTCTGAATGCTTCAGCATACCAAGACATTTTGGACAATTCCATGCTCCCAACTTTGTGGGAACAGTTTGGAGCTGGCCCCTTCCTCTTCCAACATGACTGTGCACCAGTGCACAAAGCAAGGTCCATAAAGACATGGATGACAGAGTCTGGTGTGGATGAACTTGACTGGCCTGCACAGAGTCCTGACCTCAACCCGATAGAACACCTTTGGGATGAATTAGAGCGGAGACTGAGAGCCAGGCCTTCTCGTCCAACATCAGTGTGCGACCTCACAAATGCGCTTCTGGAAGAATGGTCAAAAATTCCCATAAACACACTCCTAAACCTTGTGGACAGCCTTCCCAGAAGAGTTGAAGCTGTTCTAGCTGCAAAGGGTGGACCGACGTCATATTGAACCCTATGGATTAGGAACGGGATGTCACTTAAGCTCATATGTGAGTCAAGGCAGGTGAGCAAATACTTTTGGCAATATAGTGTATATATTTCAACCATTATATTTCCATTACAATAAACGTGCCTTTGGGCATCTTGAAAACTGTGCCTGAGTTGAAATGTGACATTGTGAGGAGGTTAATGTGACATGACGTTCACAGGTCAAGTCAGTGCTGAGAACCAAGTAGGCCCGCTAAAGGTCACTGATTCACTTGGAAGACTTGTTATTAAAACCCACGTCAAAGAAAAAAAAAAAAAAAAAGTAGGTTTGATGTAATAGTGTGGCTAAAGACAAGAACAAGGTAGAAGTTTCTGGCAGTATACATCAAAGTTCATTTGATCAGCAGGATGGATGTGAGGTGAAGGGAGGGCCTGACCTGACCTGCAGCCAACCAACTGCATTCAGCTCAGGCCAAGAAAGGCTATTGAAATTACATGCTTTTTGGACTTTTTCTTTGCTTTTTTTTTTCTTTTTTTAAACAAAACAAAAAATAATGTTATTATAATATTGTTTTGTAATAGAAATAAAAAGCTATAAATAAACACAGCTGACATAATCAGACAGGTTAAAAAGTCAAGAGTCACAGAGTGGGTCATGATTTTAGAATTTGCTGATGTGTGTCAAAGAAGCTCTACAAACAAGTGTGACAGGTCATATTTTTAACTGAAAAGACAGGAGCAAAGTACAGTTAGGTTCAAACATTTCTGGACACTGGCATTTATTTTGCCTTTGGGGTTATTGGATCCATTTACAAAAATGTTTTAATTATATCACACTTATATAAAGGATATGAGCAGAATTGTCAGTGTCTAAGTGTTAAGGAAGGAAGGAAGTGTGGAAGCAAGTGTGGAAGGAAGGAAGCAAGGACTTGTGGAAGCAAGTGTGGAAGGAAGGAAACAAGGATGCAAGCAAGTGTGGAAGGAAGGAAGCAAGCAAGTGTGGAAGGAAGGAAGCAAGCAAGTGTGGAAGCAAGGAAGGAAGGAAGCAAGTGTGCAAGGAAGCAAGGAAGGAAGCAAGCAAGGAAGGAATCAAGGATGCAAGCAAGTGTAAAAGCAAGTGTGGAAGGAAGTAAGGAAGGAAGCAATGATGCAAGCAAGTGTAAAAGCAAGTGTGGAAGAAAGCAAGGAAGGAAGCAAGGATGCAAGAAAGTGTGGAAGGAAGCAAGGAAGGAATCAAGGAAGGAAGGGCATTTACAAGCCTTTCTGTGCATAAAGCTAAGGCTAGAACCTTCTAGTCTTTGTTTCAATGAAAACAAGAGGCAGAAAGTTATTTTCTATTGTAAATATATACACAGATATTACAATGATAGGAATCAAATCCTATATGATATATTTGTCATTTTAAGAGTAATAGTTATAGCTCATTGATGATTTATGTATTGTTGCCTGGGAGGCAACACATGCAGTGAATAATGAGTCAGGAATATGGTTCATCTTCATTAAAGGAGAGATTACAGACAGCCCTGGCAGCTAAATCATATATGATAGGCCACATCATGGTGACAAGTCATTATCTACCACAGATGCTTTGAAGCCATTCTGTCCTGAAAGCATTTAGAACCACAAAAACAATGTCATCTGCAGCTGTATTGAGCCTCTGATTGGCAACGTGTAGTGCTGGGTAATGGAGCACCATTTCTGCTTTTAGACGTGGACCATTTGCGTCACATTTGTTGCTCTGAATGTCAAAGTGGACGGTACAGAATGGCTAAAAGGAAAAGTAGAGGTTTCCATGGGTTATTTAAACAGAAAACATTTACCAGCAAACATAATGGCATTGCTCATTTACATTGTCCATAATAAAAAAAAACAAAAAACGGCTAAATATTTTGAGTTTTTAGCATTAGTGGTGAGGGAGCAGGGTGATATTTAGGTTAAGAGTCTGTATTGTGCCAAACTCTTCTTCAACAACTCCATTACCCTCTTACACTTTGGTCACCTTTGACTTTTCTCTTCGTTATTAACAAGAAAATGAGAGCCGCTGATCTGAAATACGATGGTCACTGACACGGCTAACATGAAAAGTACAAATGATTGGCTGGCTTTTTAATAAGTGGGACACTTTTTGTTTCGTGCTTATAAAACTTGCCTTCCACATGATGTGAACTCAAAGCCACAAATGCAGGTTAATTTAATTTCGATTTGTTCATTTCTAACCACTGATTGTCCATTATAAAAACCTCTTTTTTTTTTCAGAGAACATGGCCCAAACCACAAAGGTCTAACATTTATTTCAGTGCAAAATATCTTTTTTATGCTCCATTTCTCAAATCTGACCTCCCTATTTTTATTTTTGATGGATGGATGGATGGATGGATGGATGGATGGATGGATGGATGGATGGATGGATGGATGGATGGATGGATGGATGGATGGATGGATGGATGGATGGATGGATGGATGGATGGATGGATGGATGGATGGATGGATGGATGGATGGATGGATGGATGGATGGATGGATGGATGGATGGATGGATGGATGGATGCTTTTAAAAGTGAAATATGGAATAAAGTTTGGATTTACAATCATGCCTCTACAGTATTTTTCCATTGCTTATTTAATGTGCTTCACCCTTTAAAACAAGCATCAATCCCAGCTTAGATTCAGCCTCACAGGCCCGACCAGGAAGGCTTACTCTGTAATAGAAGCCATTTGCTTTTATGGTGTGGGCTCAGTCCATAATAAGTAAGTGACTGTCGGCCAGGAAATTTAATAGAAAACTATTACCAGGCCACCTCTGCAGATGGACCATCCCCTAAGATGTTATTACCTCAAGGTGGTCCACTCATCCACCATGCGATGTGAAGCGACAGGATATAAAAATCAATATGTGGGAGTGGGCTAATTAACAAAACCGGTGCTGTGTGCTATTATTAGTAATCGCTACTCTTATCTTGAACTATCACGTTTCTGAGTAAAAGCCTCCCTACCTTGTTTAAACAAACAGTGATAGTAATAGTAGAAGGCTTTCTTGAAAGTTGGTTGATATTTTTAATGTTTTCACAGAACCCTTTGGATACGCTTAGAGGAATTTAATAATATCATGGGCAAACTTATTAAGTAATTGTTAATGCTTGTATTCATCTACCAATGTCATTTAGTTTTTAAATTATTTTGAAATATTAGAAAAATTAAAAAAGACAAATCTCGGGTTCTCCCTATATAACCTGCTTGTTTTAGGTCCTACAATACGTATTAGTTCAACAAATATGTTTTAATGTTTTATATATATATATACATTTCAATTTCAAAATGTTGTGATTATTTTGTATTATTGTAGGCTAATATGTTCCATTAATATAACAATAAAAAAAAATAATTTATCTGTGCATTCATCCATGAAACTTTGCTTTAGACTTTTAGGCTTGAGATGGTGATGATGATGCATTTCTCCTATTTCTATAATTTTTTTTCTCTTTACATTCTTAGCTTTTAAGCTCTAATGTTACTTCATAATTATAAAAAAAGCAATCCTGAATAACATTGGAAAATTTTCCACTTCCGTTAGGCTATACAATATAATTCCTAAATAAGATGTGATATTGGAGTTTAGGCACTGCTTGGGGTTTGCTAACTGGACAGAACCACCATTTAAGATTTGTCTAAATCGGGCCTATGACCGATTAGATGAATAGCAGTATTTTTCTTTTAGTTTGTCGACCACGCCTTAATGTCTTTTACAACCAAATGACACAAAGGAAAATAAAAAATTTTTTTTTTTTTTTCAGTGATTATTCTAGGAAGAATCTCACCCTTCCAGAGAAAGCCAAAACTATTTGATAGAGGAGGTAAACATCCCCATAAAATCATTCCAAATTCAGGCCTTAGCTGTTGTTCTTACCTGGATTTTGATGGGCCATGAGAAGTTACTGACATACACGTAGAATGTAATGTTCGGGTTGCTTCTGAAGGTGAACTTCTCACAGGAGAAACTGTCCCTGTAGTCCTTGATGTTTGTTTTGGACACAATGGGCACTTCCTCTCCAGAGATGGTCCCAGCTGTTAAAACAAAGTGTCCGTTTTTAGAACAAAGCCATTTAGCTTTTAATAAAAAGAAAAAAAGGAAACCTTACATATCGAGATGAAGGTGCTTTGACTGCAACGTGTGATTATAAATGCATTAACGAGTTTATTTGTCCATTTCGAACAACAGGAGAGCACTCATGTGCAATTATCATTATTTCTTAACTGCATTTAACTTCAATGCAGTTAGCAAAAAAAAAAAAAAAAAAAAAGAAGTATTGTAGGATTGTTAATGCTTATCAAATAAAGAGACATGGATGTGAGTGAAAGGCTCAGGTTGTACAGTGACAAACACCCCTTAACTCAGGACCCCCACTTCTTTATGAATATATAACACCCCAAATTTCCCATTTAATGTCCATAGATTGGAGGAAAGCACCAATTAGAGCCAGTATTCATGAATGCATCTGTTAACAGTTAAAAATGTGAGTAATTCTGCTTTTGTGGTGTTTTTTTTTTTTTAATAAAAAGTATTTTCAAGGAAAAATATTAAAAATAGCCTGTTCCTCATCAGCCTTTATTTTCCAAAATGATTTCTTTTCCTTCTTTATGTCAGTGCTTTCCCAGCATTGATATTCCAATCCACAACTCTGAAACAAAAGCAGCAGAAATGACAGCTTGAGTGTCGCTACGTGAGCATGTTTATCTTAATTGAAATCACCCCCACCTTCTCCCTCCCCCACCCCACCTAAAGGCGCCTCTTGCTCTTGTCAATTGTTAAGAGGCTTCTATTCCTTCAGAGACAAAAAAGAAAATCTGCGTTGTAGAAAAAGTAGGGGCCCCGATTCAAATATTCATGATGGAACACTGAAAATGCTAAAGTTGGTGAAGAGAAGGGTGCGAGGTGAGCCTGTTTTAGTTGCTGGAAAATGTCAGTGTGGTCGGAATGAACTGAGTGCACCAGGCGAAGAAAGGGAGAGCAAGAGATGAACAGTGGCATCGGACAACTGCAGTGTCCTTGGGTGTTTTTCCTCAGGGACCTACAGCATCAAGTTAATTGGGAGACTGTAAAAGCTAACAGAACATTTGTTCATGAACTCAGGACCAAACATAAACAGCCAGAAATCTGCTATAAAATGGAAACCCACATTGATCCACACAGTAAAAACACAGTCTTTACTCGTACTAGGGCTAATACTAAGTCTTCTTAAAAAGCCCTTTTCTGAAACTGAAAGTTTGGAACCATGTCTCTCTGAAATGAAATTGCACTTATATATCCAGAGTGATGGCGTGCCGTCTGGAAAGTCAACGTTCTGCGGGTGTCAACCAAAAAAACAAACTTTCTAACAGAGAGTTAGGTCTGTGGCCACTTGTTGAGAACACAGTGAAGCTTCTTGATGGCGGAGTATCGTAAAAGTGAACAGATGAAAAGGAAGAATGTCTTATTTTGTTCACATAGATGTTTCACTGTCAAAAACACTTTATGCTCAATGACAATTAACATTTTAACTTAGAGGAGGACTACATTTATGCCAAATATGACCAAAAGAGCTGGCAGTAAGTTAGCAGCCCAGACAATAAAGGTGACTGAGGCGTAAGCTATGAGCAATGAGTTCATTAAATAATCAAGTTGCATTATTTAGATTTTTACTTTTTACAAGTACTCAATACTGCAGCGCCTCAGACTGGAAGGAGGTGAGAAGAATTGTGAGAACAGCAGAGAAGATCTTTGCCTCCTTTAAAGACATTTCATCCCAGCGCTGCGTGTCCTGAGCCCGTAACGTCATCAGTGACCCCTCACCCCCCCAACATGGACAGTTTTCCCTGCGGCCCTCTGGTTAAAGGCTTTGAAACATCCTTTGCAGATCCAGCAGATTCCATAACAGTTTCTTCCCCACTAACATTAGACTGCTGAATGTTATGTAAAATGGGGTATTTTATTTTATTTTATTATATTTAATTATAAAAAAAATGAAATGTTAGAACTGTAGATATACAGTCATATGTTTATATTACTGTTTCTATGTATTTTTTTTTACTGTTTTCAAGGCTTTTCTTAATGAAATTACTTTTTGTTTACACTTGTGCATACAAAATGACAAAATAAAATCTATCTAGGTCTAAGTCTGCTCTATCACATTGCTTCATGGTGCTGGAGGTTCTCTGCTGGGTTGCTTTATTACTGATTATAAATCCAAACCTCTGTCTCCAAAGGTTTTCCTTTAAATTCACAATAAACTGCTTTTAGCTTCCCGCTCTATTTGCTCAGCATCTCAACCAAATGAAAGAAAACTGTTTCTTTAACAAAGACTATTAAAACCTTCCCTCCAACCTCAACATACCTATTTAGCCTTAGTCGGAGGCTAATTCTAGTAAGTTGGGAAAAACAAATATCTTCATGTAGGAAATCGTAGAGGAACTTACAAAGTTTCCTGTATTTAAATGTTCAGAGCTATTGTGCGAAATCTTATTTATAAAAAAATGCTATTATCAAGGATTAGCTGTTGGGAGACACATATAGCTGCCCATGGGCAGAGGGACGATCCTTGTGTTTTAGTTTTGCTGAATTATAGGCATGATAATTAAGGTTATGCTTCTAGTCTGCTTGGTGTCAAAACTCCTGCTCTCAGAAAATATTTCATGACTTCTTCCACGTCACATATTAATCCCTGCATATATATTGTGTCACAATCGTCTTAAGCAATGGATGAATAAGTTCATGCAACATCATAACCTGTAGGGTCTCTTTGGCTGTAAAATCAGCTTTTTTTCCTTATTTAATTGTTGCAAAAAGTTTGATTCATGAAGTGAAAAAAAACAACAGGCTGCTACATAACAGATAATAATTTAAAAGGAAAAGTTATAAAACTCAGTGTAAGCCCTGTAATAATATTTGAAAGATACAATTTAATTCAGTGTCATACATTTAAGCGAAATTAGCTGTAATGACCCATGACAAAACTAAAGACATATAAATAGTACTTTTATGTGTGACTGGAAAATAATTACCGCTTCTCCAGTCATTTTCCTGCAAACTGCCACACAAATTTTAATAGAAAACGAAGCAAAACATTGACAAATGTGTTATTGGGCTGATGATTAGGAAATAAGGCGCCTTTTTAATTTCCAGTTTGCATGAAAAAGCAAAATTATTTAAGAACAAAATTACCTGTTGAACCCACGGACCACGTGATGTTGAGGTTAAAGTTGTTAGATGCGTTGATGGACAGGTCCAAGTTCTTGTTTGCCTAAAAAAAAGAAAACCGAATCAAAGATATTATCAGGGAGACAAATAAACAAAATCACATCATGATAGGAAAAAAATCAAACAATAGTTCAAGAGGTACAATCAGTCATTGGTGCGTAAAACTCAGTTTTATATCAGAATAGTTCAACATCAACAACTTATAATGATGATCATCACAAAAGATAATTGATGATCAGCTTTATACATGAAAACAAGTCAAGGAAAGGCATTTATTATTAAACGAGTTACCTGTTCAGGCGAGGCCATGAAGTTAATGGCGGTGTAATGATTATCATCTTCCTGGATGAGACTGAATGTGAACTGATAGTCAATCAGGAGGTTATCTATGAAGAAGAAAAGAAGAAGAACAAGGGGAGGATTTCTGAACAACAGCTATAAGGAATTTTATTTGAAATAGTGTTAACATTTATGTTTGCCAAAGAAACATCTTCAATACAAGTAGAGTAATGTTTGGAAATTTGAACATTCTTCATATATATTCACTAGTGAGTCCATTTATCCAGACCTATTATGTACTTAAGTGAGATACTGAATAAGTTACTGTTCAGTGTGTTTCATGCATTTGTCTCTATTATCAAAACATCAGATGCAATTTTCAATCATTACTTTAGGTTCAAAAGCCTGAATTTGCTGGTATACAATTCTTGGCATAATTGTTGTGAAGCATGCAAGATCTAAAAGCAGAAAGGGTTTTTTCTGCTTTAGTGAACAAGGTGGGATTAAGAATATAGTCTTAAACTTGGAAGCCGACATTAAGCTCAAAATGATCAATAAGAGAGAGAAAGACAGAGAAGGGGGGGGAGAGAGAGAGCTCACGAACAAACCCTGAGACAAAGCTGAGCAGTGTCACCCTGAGCATGCTCTGCTAAACGTGTGCTCGCTGGCCTTTCTGACTGGAGGGAGTGTTGCGTTTACAAAGCAGCGTAAAAAAAAAAAAAGCACAAGGAGCTCCAGTGGTGTCCAGAGGTTAAAACAGGCTTCAGGGTTTTAGTTTCCAGTCTCCTCCTCATTGAGCCCGTTGTCAGGCTACGACATTTCAAAAGGGACAAAGCTTTGGTAAAGGCTCTGATGTTTGCAACATCAGTGCTCGAAGACATAACAAATCACAAAGTACTTCTGCGGTACTGTGAAGGACACCCCGTCATGCAAACACAGAAAGCGGTCTGAGCAGGTACTGATGCAGACATGTATTTCTTGCACTTTCATTGGTATTTCCTTTCCTTCCAAGTTACGCTTTCTTTTCATCTGATTTCTAAATGAATAGGTGTGCGATTGAGTGAGCAGACAAGTGGAGGATTTTGACTCCTCCGTCTCCTTGATTAGCTCAATCACTCACTCCCTGTGATGCACTTGACATTTTCACGACAAGTCATTCTGTCATCGAACATGGGCCCCTGGTGCCAAAGTGCTAAGATGCCATCTGCCCTGAGCGGAAGTGTGCTAGCAGAGAAGTGGGAAAAAGAGGAAAGCAAAGAGAGAATAGCCTGTGAAATGTCTACGTGTGTGCGGGTAGTAGTCCAGCGGAGAATCACTCACAGTAACAGGTTCCTCTGAGTGGATTACCAAGGTAACGGTTTTCTGAGTCACATCTGAAGGGAAGAGAACATGGAGAAGCAAATGAAGAGGAGCGCTAAAAGACAAAAACAACGCCTCTTATCAGGTGCAGAGTATGCCAAGTGCCAGCGCATTAGCTCCTTCTGTTGGCACCTCATCAAGCCTCTTAACTTCTGACAGGAGAAAGAATCTGACAGTTTATGGAAGTTAAACAGGCTTTTCTTAACTTTTACTAAACACAAAACAATGACATGAACGTTTATATGCACATGATTACAGATGACAGAACTTTGCACTGGAAATAAAAATATCTCTACATGAGTTGTGATTAGATAAATAAATATCAACAGCAATTTAAATCAAGATATAGACCTAAATAGATTAATTAATCATACATTTAGGGAAAAAAAAAAATCAAAATCAGAACAAATAAATATCCTGTTTAAAAAAGGGATTTGATCATTTCTTTGCCAAAAGTCTTAAATTGGACAAACAATTTGTGTTTTAGATATGTTGGGATTATTAAAATCATTTAACTCAGTGTCAAAATAATATCTGCTGATGAACAAAGAAATATAATTGTGCAGATTTCTGCAAAGATGATCTAAAAAAAAAAAGAGTAATAATTTAATAGATAACGTCTGTTTAACAGTAATTTCAGCAGGTAAATAAGATTTACTGCCAATGGAATCTGTATTTTTACCCTTAAAATTAAATAATTAGATATTAAAATAAGATATTTAAATAAGAAACTGCAGATGTTTTCCTTATTTTAAATGTAAGTTGTTTTATTCTATTAGCAAAGTGTCTCAATTTCAAAAAAATGCATTAATTTTAAGAAAAATGTACCTACTTTTGCTTGTTTTTTTTTCTTTATTTTTATTTTTTATGGAAGGTTTGTAAGTAGAGACATGTCCAGTCACATCAAACATTACAATCAGACCAGATAACAGACTATTTTATTAACGTTAGCTGCAACCGCAGCAGTGTGTCAAATTGTGGAATCAGCCAAAACAGGCAAACTTTATAAATGAAGAGCTGCCAAGTAAAAATAATTTGTTTATATCCACAGAGGGAACGTCAACTACTCTGAGAATATGTGTGCACATTAGAGTGTTTTATTAGCCTCATGGCTTTCCAAAGCCCTCTAATCAATCCGAGCATATGGTCATGTTCACTGGACTGCATTGCCCTTTATCTTATTTAAATGCATCTCTCACTCCCGGTTTGTTTATGTTCTGAAGTCTAAGCAGCTCACCATGAAACAGTTTTTCTAAAGTATTACCATATACTGTGGATTCTGGAACCGTACAAAGAAAGTGAAAGTTGTTCTAAATATTACCTCTGTCATCACATAAACCATTCCACACAGTTTTATCAACTTTTTTTTTGAACGACTAATTAAAGTTGTTAGAATGTGAAAAATCAGAGGCGGTGTTGTGGAGTCAGAGAGGCCGGTGACGGGCGGGAGGAAAGCCGGCTGAGAGACGAGAACGCCACTGAGGAGGAGGGGGTGGCTGTGAGGCGGTGTTGTATTGGAAATGGGCTGACTCTGATTCTTAAAATATTCTGCCACATTTGAAGAACGCAGGGAACACTTTGTGTCGTTTCTGAGTTTGTGAAGTTTCTAATTCTTTGAAACAAACAAAAAAAAAAAAACTTTAAAAGCAAAACCCACTTTTGGGTTTTAAAAAGATTTAAAGGGATGCTTGGCTTTAACTTTTAGACTTTTTATTTGGCTTTTAGTACAGTGCAACTGTACATTTTACTCAGTAGGCTCCATAGTTTAACTTAATATACAATATGTTGGTGAAAGTGCTGGAACTTTGCTCCAGGAAATCAAAGCCAGCAATGAGCCAGTGGTGGACGACTCCTTAAAATGGTCTCCTTAAAAATTTTTAGCTTAGAACTGATCGATTTTAGAGGAAAACTTTACAAGTCACTTTTATTAATGATCAGGGAATCATTAGTGTGCATATTAACAAATACCTTTGGTTTATATCAGTTGTCCTATTGAGCTAGAGTCAACATGCAAAATGTCGTATCAGAATCTCTTCTGCTTAAATAAATTGCCATTAATGTTGACCGAACCATGATCCTTTATTAATGCTGTGTTTTATCCAATCACTTTCCTTGGTGTTATGGTTTGATCATACAGCTCTGAAAGAGAGGAGTTCCCATCCAAAGGTAGTGATCGGTGAGCCCCAACAATCATATTACTTTACGACGGATAGCAATTTTAGTTTTAAGTGACTTTGATCTCCATCACAGGGAACTTTATTTTTCTAACTCTGGAAGAAGATTTATAGTCTCTTAGGCTGCGTTCACACAGCAGCCTGAAGTGACCCAAATCCGATTATTTTGCCCATATGTGACCTGGATCTGATCTTTTTATGGTTGTCTGAAAAACACAGATCTGATTTTTTCCGCCCAATCCTCTTTTTCCAATGCGACCCAGGCCACTTGTCTATGTGGTCCTGAATCCGATACGACTGTTCTTTTCAAATGCAACCTGTGTGTGAACGGCCAGGTCGCCTTCATCCAATCTGAACGCCAATAATACCCGACAAAGGTCACTATTCTGGGTCTTGCTACACAGAAGCGGCAAGAAAGACAACAACCATGGCGGACGATGATGCAGAGAGTAGCATTTCTTTTTAACCATCTTGAAAAGATTGAGGTTTTAAGGTTTGTAAAGATCACTAGATGCGCCTCAGCACTACCATCCTTTTTTACTTCCGTAAACATACGGTAGAGCACGGTGGCTTGTGACGTCACTTAAGCTGAATGAATGCAGTTCACACAGGAGATCACGTACAAGTCGCATGTATTTGGAAATGTGAATGCCAATGAAAAAAATCGGCTTTCACAAAAAAAAAAAAACGGAATTGAGCATCAAGGCATGTAGTGTGAATGTAGCCATAATTAACTCAGCTAACCGTCCGTTCGAACCGATGATCACTACTTTCTCTCCTGGTTTGTCATGTGACTCCGTCATGTGACTCATAATGCCTGCGCCATCTTAGTTATTTGTCGGGCCACTGTTATAACAAATCCCACAATGCTAAGCAAGGAAAGCTCTCCCCTCAAAGCATTCCGGGATATGGCTGCTTGTCAGGTGAACATGGGCAATCACTACTTTTTAAAGTGCATTGTGGGAAATTTTGAGTCCACTAATTTTTCATCAACTAGACAAGGGGTCAGCAACCCGCGTATCTTTAGTGCCCCCCTTGCGGCTCCCTGGAGCCTTTTCAAAAATGTATGAAAATTTTTTATTGTTTGCTTATTTTAATATGGTGTGCAGGAGGTCAAACAGACATTCATTATGTTTTCCAATGCTTTTTTTTGTATAATAAATACTTTTAAACAATATAAGTTTTAAACAATATAACTAAAATGTGCATCATAGCAATAGAGATCAGTGGTCAAAGCCTGTAACACATGTCTTAGCGCGGCGCGGTGTCAGGCAAAGAAAGCGGCGGGTGTGTCTTGGGCCATTGATCCCAAAATGCCAGCTGTTTGGATCCACAGCTTGAAGGGCTAAATATTTTCTGTTTAGATAGGACCTAAGTATTTCAACTTCCTGGAATTTGTAGAGGCATAAATTCCACACACCCATTTACTCATCAGTATAATTCAGCCTCTCCACTCATTCAGTATCTTAATTTAATCTACACCAGCATGCATCCATTCATGCATCCAAACTTCAGGCAATCCCCCTTCCCTGTATCTTAATTTGATCTACACTCCTCTCTAGGGATGGGGATCGTTAATATTTATTGATATCGATACCTTTATCGATACTCCTTATCGATCCGAGTCTTTATCGATACCACTATCGATACTTTTCTGTTATTTGGTGGAAAGACGATGCGACAATATGTTTTTAACAGAACTGGTATTGCTTTTATTGCTTAACAAGTGAGCATAACAAAAAAGTTTCTAGCCTTCAGTAAACATGGCTAATGTAATAGGCCACTTCTAAATGACATAAAACTAACTAGAATATATCAGCAGCACCAAATGAAAAATAAAATGTCATAATGTATATAAATTAAATGAATAATATGCTGTGTCAGAAAAAAAGGAAATAAAATATCAGCCCATAAATTAACAGGTATTTTTTTGCAGAAAAATTAACATGTCTGTCACTTTTCATCAGGTTTTTAGAGATTAGGAAAATATTTATCAAATAAATAATTTTATTTTAAATTAAATGTAATTTTTAATAAATGTTGGCATCAGTAGTTTAATTATATATTGTAAAATAATTACAGCAATATACAACTGTATTACTCATGTTTCTCGCCAAAAACTCAATTTCCCTTTTCTTTACGTTACACTTGAACGCATCATGATAACCTAATTGTCGTTTTACTGAGCCAACCTGAACACATCATCACGCAGCACGTCTGAAACTTTATTTACTTTTTAAGCTAACTAGCTTGTATGCTGCCGATTACAACACGGATTTCACAATTACCATTTTTAAGTGACCAGACAAGCTACAAAGTCTGTGTGCGCGCTAACCAGTGGTTCTCTGAGTGGATGATGAAGACGGGCCCGACTGTGGTGCGGCGGGGCAGCAGCAGGAGGAGGAGGAGTCTTTTCCGTTCAGCCATTCTCGAGTTGCGAGCAAAGTTAACTGCCAGACTTCACTTGTTTTACTTTTAATATCTGTTTGCTTACAATTTCATTCCAAAACATTGGTAGACATGCTGCAGTGATTGGATTGATTAGATTTAAATGCTGTGACGCGACTCGAGGGACACACAATTATGTTACAGGACCTCCGGGAAAAAAAAAAAAAAGACCAGACTCGATAGTGGTATCGATAAGCCCAAACGTTATTGATTTTCGGGTTTTGAAAAAACTGGAACCGGGTCCTTGATAGAACCGGGTTTCGATCCCCATCCCTACTCCTCTCCAACCTTTGTGGCTGTGCGCTATATAAGCACAGGCTGCTTTAGTTACAGCAAAGTTTGTTACTACTAGTGCCTCCTGCATAAAACATTTTTTATAATTTAAGTTCCCTTAAAAATGAACAAAAAGGAAGAAGTAGTTTCCCACTGACTGATCACAGCAATGTACCATGGTCAAAATTAGCCCAAAACAATTATTATTCTGCATTAATGCACTCTTTGCTTCATCAGTAAAGCTATTATTTCAAAAACCTAATGGCATCTGCGGTTTGAGTGTAAGCACAGGTGGATGTTTACATGTGTGTTATTTGTGTATTTTGTAGCCTTGTGCTGCGGTCTGCTAATCACTGCTCTGCACTGCATTTTCTGGAAGAAGAAATCAATGTGGCACTTTGTCGATTGTGCAAAGTGCAACAAATTCAGCATAACGGTTAACAGAAAGCAATGGGAATCCATCGCTTTCTGGAATCACTCTCCTGAAGTCCCTCTTATATACCTTTAATCATTTTAATTGCTATCTTAGCAACAATAACATTATAAAAAACATAATTTACAAAGTAGAAATAATATATGGATGCTGCTTTTTGTTCTATCATAGCACAGTAGGACATTTAAAGTGAAGCTGAATCAAGCCCATGGGTAGAAAACATAACATTTTTAACAATATTAGAATCAGGACTTAATGTATTTGGTTTCCGTAGCAACAAGCCAGTATGAAAAGACACGACAAAATCCAAAGTTTTTCAATTTTGAACCAAAAAACCTCAAACTAAATTACTGAAATGAGCCAAGCTATTTATATAGAAGAGATAAGTATCAATTAGTTCAACTTACATTTATAATCTATACATCATTGTATTGCATTCATACATCGATTCTTTTCTTAAGTTAAGAAAGTTGGACACAAAGAGCTGCAGCTTTCTGAGTCTTCTATGTTCTGAGCAGCCAGAGAGTTTTCGGCTGATGAAAAAAGAAAAACTTCACACCAGCCAATAACTAAACCATGAATCATGTTTGCAAATAAAGTAACAGTTTCAGAAATTGTGAGCTGTATTTTAAAGAAGCGGAAGTCATTGAATGATGCTCCAGTTCTCACTTTTTAGGCACTGATAATGTCTAAAAGAGCAAAGTAGCAAAATTGCTCTATATGCCATTTTAAAAAATTGAGAATACCTACAAAAATCAAACAAAAAAGAACCAAAAACTAAGCTCTGATCAATTTCTGCTCAGAATATATCTAGAAACTGAGGTTAGAGCCGGCAAGATACTGTAAAATTTTAAAGTATAAGTGATTAATTTAAAATTTTTAAAGCCTTTTAGCTACGTCCAGAAGAGCTTTCACAGATAATGATGGGTCTTACACTTTAAATAAAATTAAAAACCATTATTTTTATCATTTGTAATAATAAAGATATATAATGAATAAATCCACTGTACTTCAAAAAGTCTCTAAGCACTGTTTAAAAAAAATGGTTCGGGTTCTGTAAGACCAGAGTTGGCATATTAGATTTTGAACTATAAGTTGAAAATCAAGGACAACTTCAGTGGTGGAATGCAGCAGCCATAAAGACACTTTAAAAGTGTTGATGGTTTGTTTCTCCGCCATCACTGTGTATTTCTCCAAGGAGACAGCCAAAGTGCTGCCATACAAACAGCTTAAAAGCAGCAGGAGCTACAGGTTTAGGAAATAACTGGATAGAACATCCTGACACAGACTACAAAGTATTTCTTTCCAGACTTCCTCTAAAAAGGAAACACTGTCAGCCTTTAACAAAGCCACATCTCATTACAATGTTAAATGCTATTAAAAAAGGAGAGAGTTAATTATGTTACCTATGGGGCAAAATTTTATAACTTTGAAATCCAAAGGTGTGCATCATCTGAACAAAATGACTTAGGAGGGGAAAAAAACGGTTAGGTTTTATGTTTAAAAAGCATAAATGCTTGTTCAGCTTTGCCTGTGACCCCACCATTACTCTACTGCATTATCCTGCTTCCAGCTGTAAAAAAAAAATAAAAAATAAATAAAAGTGCCAGTTTAAAGTAAATGGTCCTCCCACGCGGCTGGAATCCACCGTCTCAGCATAAATCACAGTGGATGTAGACTTTCTGGGCGATAATGCAACTGATCCCTAGTCGTTTTTATCCCCATCAAATCAACAGCATCTCCACATCTGAGACTCCATGTGAGAGGAAACAGAGCTGGCTCGCAGAGATTTGACATCAACGCTTACAACAGCGTCACGAAAGCCATGCATCATCCGTCCTGAATTAATCATATACACATCAATCTCAACGTGTAATTGAAAGAGGGGAGCTGTCGGACTCAAAGTTAGATTTTTGATTGAATTTGATCTATATAGAGCTGTTTACTTACATGATGGGCATATAGTTGTTTCAGATTTGAAAACAAAAATGCAGCAACAATTCCTACTATAATTTAGTATATGTGATTGATTGTTTTTGTTATAGATCAATTTCATTATCATCAACAGAAGTAGTAGCTGTGGTAAAGAAATTATCAATTTTCCACCTTATTGTTCTGTATTTATCTCCACCAGGGGCTGCATTTCCTTCATTTTTTTCCCAGCTTTAATGTCATTACACTGTCAAAAGTACTGTGTAAAGTTCTTTATATAGAAGAAATTCACATCAGACTGCCACAAGAGTGAAAGTCTGTCTCTACAGCAATCCCTCACATTAAAATGTATGCAGCGACAGTGGAGAGGAAAAGCTTGAGGGCTCGAAATCAGAACCTCCAAGCTCTATGCCCTAACCACTAGGCCGCCACTCCTGCCCTTTTGTGATCTGATCACACTGGAAGGGGGATGGGGTTATTTAAGGTCAAGTGTCATTCTGCTCAGGTGTTGCTAAATAAGAAGAGGCAAACTTTTTTTTTTTTTTTACTGTGCTTAGTTAGAAGTTATGTTGGTTTATTTTGTTGGAAAGATAATGGATATAGGAAAATAAATGGCTTTAAGCATAACTCTTAAGAAGACCTGCATATTCTTGATTGAGTACATGAAAGGCCAAAGCTTACCAGGAGAGTAATCTAAAATATAAGATTTTAGCCACTACAATGTTGTTATTATTATTATTATACCTTTTTTATTGCATTTTTGTTTTTGTTTATCTAGCAAACAGACTTATTGTTAAATAATTTAAATCTTGCTTCTAAAAACTGTATCCAAGCATCAAATGAAATCCAAAGAATTATGTTTTCTAGAAATGTACTCATCTGAACCTAAGGGCTGACTTTCCGTCCGTTTATTACCATGACCCGTGATTATAAAGTTTCAGTCTAGTCTAATGTTTACTTTAAAAACTACAGCAGAAGAAAAGGGTCTCAAATGTGCTTTTCTTGCATTCCTGCAGTGAGGAGTCATTAACTATGTATAGCAGGAGAGTTGATGTCCCACAGGGTGTGAGGAAGCAGTCGCTGTGAAACAAGGTTTTGATAGGATCTTAAGAGTAGAGCATATTTTATTAGCAATTAGCACAGTTGGCAAAGAAATATCAGCCTTCTAAAATCCAGCATTTTCAACAAAAACAAATAGTTTGACGCTTTAAAGGATAAAAGAAAGCAAAAGTTCAACCTTTATGTCATCTGCTCTCCCACACAGCCTGGATCAGGGATTTCATATTTAAATATACAAGTGGTCACCATGGATCAATAATTACTTCAGATTAAAACAACTATTTCTATGAAAAAGCACATGTGAAATCAAATGTGGATTACAACCATGAATGGCATTCATTTCGTAAAAAACAATGTCAACAAATCTTATGCCTCTTTCTTCTTCTCTAAATCAGCCACAACTTTCTTTGTTCTTTATTCATCTTTAACTGACATTAAGATGATGTTTAGACGGGGAAAAAAAGTGACTTTTTTTATGCCTAAACCAGGATATAGGATGTGAAAAACTGCAGCCATAAACCAGAGGATAAGAGTGTTTGTTTTCATTGTTTTAGCTGTAGGCTGTTGTACTCACAGCTGGCACTGGTCTCCTTTGATTCCCTTGGTGGTGCAAAAGCATTTCCCCGTCAACACCTGGCATACATTTGCATGACCGTTGCACTTACAAGCTGAAACAGGCGACAAGAACAGATAGATCAAACATTGAGACAAAAAGAGCAAATTAAAAATAACAGAGGAATTTACTGATAAATGTAAAAAGTGGTTTACTATGAAGATTTGAGTTGAGGAACACAAAAGAGACAATTCTGTGCTGTAGAAATTGTTCTTCCAATTTAAAGTACTTGGTGAGCAGTTTCCTGCTGTTGAGGCTAAGCTACGCCTCAGATTTCTTCTGTTTCAGAAAACACACGGGAAAGATTGATATTGATCTGGGGACTACGGTAAACAATTGGATTTCCCAAAAGAAAGGCTGAACTTCAAAGATCTGATAGACACACACACCAAACCCCCGGGTGTTTGAGAGTCTGTGTCGAAAATGCCGCAATAGGTGGGTGGACAGGGTTCTGAAATGATTCGACCACGGCAGGCTTTTAGGTTTGCATTTGATGGAAAATAAGAGACCCCTTCATTTTAGTTCACCAACTTTGAAAAAAAAAAACAAAGAAGACAAATTACTGAGGGGTCAGTAGACCTTCCACCCCCAAATTCTACCATAGTGCATATTAATATCTTAATTTACTAGAGTGCTTTAAAAAAAAAAAAAAGTGTCTAATCTCTTTCTTTCAGGTTTTTCATTAGCTACGTTTCACAACTTCATCTTTTTATCTTTATCTTTCATCTTTTTTATTTAATTTCCCTTTGAGATTAATAAAGTATTCTGAATTGAATTTAATTTAATTTTCACCAAGAAATCTAGAGTAAATGAAACTCAGCTAGTTGCAAAAGTATGAGTTTTTCACTGAGGGACTTAAAAGCATAAATAAGGTTTATTAAAGTGTAAATAAAGCAAATTGTGCTTGTGTAGTTTCTGCTATGAAGACTTTAGAAGCTGTATGAGAATCAAGAAAATCACCTGGAAATAATAAGCTCTAAGCTAATACATTTAGGAAAAACAAGCTCTTACTATTTCCACCCTATGTGTAAAACTCAGTTTGACCCTTAAGCTATTATGGCTACAAAGGGTGGAGTAACTGAAGAAGATGACAATGATTTTTCTCAGAACTTCTACTTAAACCTAATGAGTTTATATCATTTTAATCTGAAGACTTTCTATTCACACCTCATAAAATGTGTATATTCTGTAATCTGCTTGCATCTAAAGTTATAAGATTTTCCAGTAGTGCTGAGATGGTTGCAGTCAAAACTTATTGTAATATTATATATATATATAAGTTTACCCAAACAGCTTTTCCAATTTTTCATTGCTAAGCGATTAGAACTTCTGCTTACTTACTGCAATTTTAACCGTTTAGCATGAATTGTACGGAAATCAATGACTTGACAGTCTTCATAGACAGATAAGGCTTTTCTTTTAATGAATTTACATTTTTTTTTTTACTAATTTGAATGTTTATTATCGTAATTAAGATCAAACTGAACTAGGTGATGCATCCTCAATTTCATTCAAACTGACAGGTTTCAATGACAGAAATTAAATCTCCACCCATAGAAACAAATGGAAGGATTATTTAAGGTGCTATGCTGTTTACTGTCACTGTACAGCTTTAAAACTGCATCAGCATTAAAGTATGTAAGGAAAGGAAATCCACCCAGCTTTATGTTTTTGAATGTAAGGATGAGTGACTCATCGTCCGACACCTCATACAAATACATGTGTCTAATTTCTGAGGAATGCAATTGATGTTTCATGGCAAAAGACATGAAGAGAAATCAAGTCTCATCTTTCAGGCAAAATGAAATACACCAAAGTTCAGGTGTTTCAGTGGACATCAGACACTGATGCTTTAATCCCTATTCTTACTTTACACTCTGCTGTCATTGCAGACGTTCTACTTTTTTAAATTCAGCAGGGACTACAGTAAAAACATTGCCCACTGAAAACAGGAATTAAGTCTAAAGTATAGTCTGCACCAGCTCAACAACGATGTTCTCTGTTTGGCAGAGACACAGGAAATGAAACCAGTTCTGTAAACCACTTAATAAAGAAGTCTTACAACTGGTCAAACAACTGAAAGAAAGGAGCTTTTGTTGGAAATTGTTTCACCATTTTCAAAACAACTTGTATCAGGTTCCTCTAAAAAATATCATGTATCCCTCTCTGGGTGTAGTAAAAAAGCTCTGCATAAAAGGCATTTGTGTTTGAAAGCTCTCTAAATTCATCTAAAGTTAACTTCAATGGATAATCTTTTATATTAACATAGCTGAGAAAAATCTTTGTTTGCATCATTTCACAATTTTCCAAACTGAAATTTCTTGATTGATTAAAGAGATTTTGCATTATTTGGGACTTTTTTTGCACAATAAATTCTCCATATTTGGTTGGATCTTTTGAACGTTACACAAAACTTAGCTTAACCAAACCCAAGCTAGATATTCCGAGTCTATAAAATAATCTAGGTTACATCTTTATTTTGGCAATCAAACCAAACCAAATGCTGGAGTGTCATCTACTGATCGAATCAGAGGGGGAGATTACAACTGGAGGAAGTCTTCATTATGTTAAAGGAATAAAAAGGGGCGTCACTCACCTTGACATTTGCCTCCATTGGTCGGGTCTCCGTGGTAACCCGGCATGCAGGTCTCACAGTTAGGACCAGTGGTGAGGTTGCGACACTGCTCGCACACACTGCCGTTCACACACGTGCTGTGGCCGTTACACTGGCATGCTGGAAAGCAATATCAAGACAAGAGGATAAAAAGACCTGAAAGAAGAAGGATGATCTAAAAATGCATGTCAATAAACCCGAGTGTCATGGAGTCGATGCGGGATTTAGGAATTTTACTACAGCTACGGTTGAAACCCATTAATGCTGCCAGCAGCCATGTTATAGGAATGACTTTTGAAAAATCATTGCTTCTTTTTGGAATTGCATTTATTGGAACAACTTTAAATTAGCCTTTGGATATACTAAAACCAGAAAGAAAATGTGGTAATTTCCATACATTTAAATTTATAGCAGAAAACAACCTTGGATTGATAACATTATCGCGTTGAGAAAGGGTTATATTGTTATCTGATAACATGTGTTGAAGCGTGGAACGGAAGGAAAATTAAAGGGGGAGAGTAGCATTAGGTTGCAAGAAGTCATCAGGGAGGGATTGGTTGCATTCAGCAGCTGAAACTAGATTCCAATACATGGATATCTTTTCAGACCAAAATCAGAACAACCCAACGGTCAATACCTAATAATGTAGTAGAGATACTATAAGGTGGGACGGGGGTGTATATTACTCACCAGGGCAGCTAATGAAGGCCCATTCAAATCCTTTGTCTTTGGGGCAACTGCCAGGCTCAAGGCTCATGTCATGGGAATGGCCCTGCTGGCCCTGCTTTGCAGCTCTTTTCATGGGCCCCCTGTAGGACCCTTCCATACACAGCCCCTTCCCTGTGCTGCTGGGGTCGCCACACCAGCCGCACTCGGGCTGATCCAAGCACTGGGAGCACGTCCGCAGTCCTGAACAGTTTTGAGCTGGAGAGGAAAACAAGTAAAGGTCACATCTCTTTGTGCTAATCACCACTTTCATTTGGCCATTCATTTCAGAGGACATCAAACGCATCTTTCTTTTCTCTTCTAAAGCATTTTGAATCCTTGAACTTGTCTGCATTGTTAATCACATTACGAACACAAACTGCTATGTGAATTATTGCTGGATAGTCAACACCACCATGAGGACACAGAGGACGGCTCTGAAAGCAACATATGCATTTAAGTTATAAACAGGAATGGACAATTTTTTACTTTTCTCATTTTTTCTGATGAAAGGAAAACCGATGGATTACATTTTTGTGACCTTTTGTAGGCCGTCCTTTCAAACCTCTGTTTCTATCGTTTTACTTTGTGTTTTCTACCTTTTAAGTCTGAATTAATTCAAACATTCCACATAGGGGTCACCCTTCTTCCCCGTGTCGACTATTATGAAAACTGTAAAAAAAAATACTGATGTAAGCTCCATTCAGGCTCTGTGGCTGTTTTATTGTTTTCAGCCATTTTGCATTTATTCATCTTTTTTTTCTCGATATTTGTACAAGATATTCTTTTTACAAACAAAAAAAAAACACTTAGGCCTGGGCAGACAGTGCGCCAGTTAGAGTAGCAGGTAGGAAGCCAATGAAAACTCTGGACAGGTGTCAAGATTGACCACTCAGGTGGCAGAATGTGATGAAAGGACAATCTTTTTTTCTTCCACCTTAAAAATCTGGCCTTTATAGAAAAAAATCCCATTATAAGGAAAAGCCAAAGTTTACATTTATAGTTTGTAGGAGTCATGAAGTGCATACATACTCTACAACCTAAGCTACAATTGGGTGGATTAAATCAAAGCATCTTGATATGTAGGAAGGTTCTAGTCAAAGTCCAGAAATGAAGTGACTAAGGCTACGTTCACACTGCAGCCTGAAGTGACCCAATTCCGATTTTTTTGCCCATATGTGACCTGTATCTGATCTTTTTATGACAGTCTGAACGACACAGATCGGATTTTTTCAAATGCGACCCAGGCCACTTGGATATGTGGTCCTGAATCCGATACGCATCTGATCTTTTCAATGCGACCTGTGTCTGTACGGCCAGGTCGCATTCATCCGACCTACACGTCATTGATACTTGACAAATGTTACTAAACGTTACTAATCTGCGTCCTACTAAGCGGAGGCGGGAAAAACTAACAAAAAAGGCGGAAGATAACACAGAGAGCAGTCAATGGTGAGAAAGTGAGGTTGCTGACTTAATTCATATTTGGAAAGATAGCTCGATTCAGACCAAACTCGAAGGGTCTTACAGGAACCGGGGGAGGGTCTTTCTTTTTGATCTTCTTAAAAAGATTTCATTCGTAATGTGCCTGCTCCTGTTGGAGAAGAACTTAAAGAACGCAATATACGCTGCGGTATTACGAGTCATGTTTACTTCCGCAAACACTGAGGACGCTTGCTACATGTGACGTCATCGCGTCCTCGAGTGCGCATGCGGGACACTTCGGTTGAACGCTTTCAGTTCACACAGTAGATCACATACAAGTCGCATATACTTGGAAGTGTGAACGGACACGCAAAAAAATCCGATTTCACAAAAAAATCGGAATTGAGCATTAAGGCCTGCAGTGTGAACGTAGCCTTAGGAACCCTTGGCAAGAGCTAAGATTTCAGGGAACAGATTCTCCCCATAAAGCAGGCCCATGCTTGAGGTGCTTTACAAAAAAAACAGTTGAAATTTGTGTAATTTTGTACTACAAATCAAAATAAAATTGAATATAAGCTTGTCTAGTTTCAGACATTGACGAAAAATGTTTTGAGGGATAATAACAAGGGCGCTACCAGTCACTTTGACACAAAGTCATTTTAAAAATATCAAATTTTAATATCTTTTCAGAAAGATTTAGTTTGTTTTTCATCTTTTACAGGATCCACTGCCTAAGAAAATGAAACGCGGCTAACACTTTAACACAATGTAGTGAGACAGCAAGAAAACAGACCAGAAAATAGATAAGACGATAAGAAACAGCAAAGCAAAGCTTCCCTATTTTAATAGCTGATAAGAGTCAGAATCACAGTCTGAGACTTTAAATGAGAATCTGCCTGAAAACTCCAAAGCTTTCAAATTTTAACAAAGTTTCAGAAAGGGATTAAATGAGCCACATGTCTTTGCACTTCACCCTAACTTTGGAAACCTGAAGGAGGAATACTGCGCTGCCATCTGAGAGACTCTTAAGGACACTTCGATTGCTTGGCAAGTTTCAAAGCCACCACTCACCCGCTCAACAGACACCTCAGCAGAGAAACACCGCCACTATTTTAAGACGACAAACACTGAGTGCTTTTACCTCAGTTTATGTCAAACAAATCTCCAGCTATTCCGCTAATGGATGTGAAACCATGACAACACAAGAGCAATCAGAACAAAGTAAAGCCATTTAAGTTTGCTTAGACGACAGGCCATAAGTGGAGGATTTCTGCAGAAAATGCTCTTCTAAAAAAAGAAGACGTTTGGAAGCAGACGCTTGCTTTGCCACAACATAAAAGCATGTTGAAATACAAAAAGCTCCTAACACACAGATCAATTGTGACAGCTGAAGGCCTCCCCTCATAAAGGAAACCGATCAATTGTCTTATGATTTATCAAATAAACAACTTTGCTCCGTTTAAAAAAATAAATAATAAAAAAAAAATCTAAATAATTTTCTTTTTGTCGGTTCTCTGATATGTATTTGCTTTATTCATAGCAATAGTCATGCTTACATTTCTTCAAAATCTCTTAATCAGACTGAAATGTGTTCTGTTTAAAAAAAATCTAATAATACTAATTATGTCCATGTGAACATGTCTTAGCTATGGATGCAAAAAAAGGCTGTTAGCTTCAGAAACAATGGCTTCTTACGTGCCATTAGGCTGGCAGGAAAAAGTATTTCTTTCAGTTACCTTCTTCTACTCATCAGTTAGTAGTAAATAGCTTTTAATTTAACTACAGAGTATAAATACATCTACGGAGCTTCTGTATAAAATCAACTACTCAACCAGTTTTTGGTCTATTTGGTTGTAGCTAAAGTAAATGATAACATTTACTTTCCTTATTAAGGCAAGGTCACAAACGTTGCGTATGACAGTTTTTTTTTTCTCCGATATGATTTTTTCCATGTCACACTGACTGCGTACAGAGAGGCTCCGACTAGGCAGGGTGAGCAGATCTGTGCAGATTTTTTTTCACTTCTGTCTCTGTGCTACAAAAATAAAATAAAAAACATTTCCCACAATTGCCTCCGAAAGATTATAAAAAGTTATTAAAAATGAAATTTAAAAGATACTGCTTAGCATAAAAATATAAATAAAGCAAAGCCACCCCTAAATGATTTTGCGTGGCATCTCAAACCAGAACAGATAGCGAATAATAATATGCCTCTATTAAAAACATAATGTCATCTATGTCTAAATAAGGAAAACTCAGCAATACAGGATGTTGGATGGTTTATATGCTGACTGAGGCAGTGAGAGGTGATTCTCACAGAAAGATAAAGAAGGGAGAATGATGAAGTTTAATTACCTGCTCTGTCTGCCCCTTGTTTTGGTTTTTGTGAGCCTCAAAGAGGATCACTATTTTACTATATCTGTTTTCTATCCTCCTGAAGTTTTTCTTTTCCTTTTCGTGAATATTGATGAACTGCGCTTTCTGTCCCTTGCTCAAAGAGGATCACTATTCTATACGTTCTCTGTCCTCCTGAAATCCTATCATAGGTAAGGTGCTCCTTTTAATGTTTCATTTATTTTCTATACATGAGTCTGTCCCACCTGCCTTATATTGGATTTGCAATTCCAATCCTGACTTTTTTTGTCTTGCGATTAACAGATTTTATTTTGCCTTCACCCAAAGCGGCTGTGTGTTACTTTTTAACCGCGTGTCTGTTCCTGTCTAACCCATGAAACTGCAGCTAAATTACTGCATAGTGTGACTAAGAGCTACGCCAGCTCTCTTGCAGAAAATCATGTCGGGTGTGATCATCCCCATTGCCCCCTAATGAGCGCTAATAAGAAGCGATTTTCTGTCGACTAGAACGAAAAATCGGACTCAGTGTGTTCAGCGCTTAAACTATTTTGCTAGCTTTGTAAAACCCTGAAAACACCAAATCTGATTTTGCGTCCTACAGCTAAATTTATTTTTTTATTTTTTCCTACTTGCTTTGATTCTTTTACTTTCCTGTATTTTAATCATGTCAAGCACTTTGCATTGACTTTGTACTGAATTGTGCTATACAAATAAATTTGCCTTGCCTTGCCTGAAGAAATTCAACATGACTTGAGAATGTTTGAAACTTAAATAGTTAATTTAACCTTAAGGAAACAGTTTTATAGCCCACTCTAATGAAGAGCCATTACGTTTTGCCTGGACTCTGATTTGTCAGTAAAAAAAGGCAATATTTGTCGAAAAAACTCTCTGTGGAAAAAACAATTTAACCTTTGTAACAAAAACAATACATGTTTAAATTCAAGTAAGTAAAAAAAAAACTTTGAATAACAGTAATCATTGTACCACTGCTGTACATTTCCCCTGTTCTTGGGGTTTTAGATGTATTTATATAGAAGGCCCAACCCCATGCATACATTACTGCACACACTGAACACACTCACGTTAAAAAAGGAACAAAGAAAGAGGGAACAAATATCCAAGATTGAAACATCTCTCCGAATTCACCCAAGCAAAGAGAAAGGAAGGGAAACACAAAAGGTTTTTTTAGAACAACCTTCCTTGTCCTTCATGCCAAGAGAGACTAATTCCTCAAGACAAATATCCACAGCAAACAGCATTTCTGTGTTGCCCAACACCAGCAGACACAAATGAATTTGAGACAGCACTCCTGGGCTCCCTAAATTTGTTACTCGCTAAACTGATCAGAGATTTTTCTCAATGTGACACAACAGGGGGAATAATTCATACATCAAGAACCGGCATCTAGCTGAAAGGCTATGTCGACCTTCAGGTGAAAGAGATCCCCAGTACGCTTACTGCTAGGTAGTCAAAGCCTATTTTCTCCTTCATATGTGTCCACTTTTCAATCTGATTTGGACCACTGGTCCTTGTTATTTTTGTTTTTTTGCCTTTTCTTAAATGTTTAGGTGGATAATTTTTGCGTAAGCCTTGAATAAGACGAGTTTCTTTGAAAACTCTTCATGGTTCTTGTCAGCTCCTTTAGACACACTGAAAGTTGTCACAACTAGACTAAATTTATGCCGATACGCTAATTTATAAGAGCGCATTGGCTCTTTGACCAACATCTGGGCTCCCTCTCCTAGGGTTCTATCCCATTATTTTAGTACTCTCTGCAATTGTTAAACAGAAGAAAGAGCAGGTAAGAAAGATCCCCCCGATTTTCCTAGCTCCCATTAAACCCCAGCCACCATTCCTTACCGCAACATTACTTAGAAGCATCAAACAGTAAAGAGACCAGCTAAAGCGCAGTCAGGAGGGACAGCAGCAGTTAGGTGCGAGTTTATGCAAAAGTAATTGGCCATTAAGAGCCAAAGCAGATTCCATAGTCAATTACAGGAAACAAATACGATTTTCCCTGTGATTCAAACACCTTCGACTTTAAGCCATTTGCTTTCCCGTAACCTCTCTTCTCTCCATAATGAATATCGAACAATTACAGAAGCCAATCTAGGGGAACTTATTGTCTGTTGCCCTGACGTTAGACTCTAGATCTCCGGGAGACTCACCTACATTTAATTTGCCTGGAGAAACTTACCCACACAGTCTGAAGTCTGCCACTCCAAACACTGGCCATAGGGGAATGAGATGACATATGCATTTGAGTCCACACAGCGCTGTGTGCTGCCACACCACATGCACTCCGTGCCCTGGCTGGTGCAGTTGGCACAGTTTGTGTGCAGAGAGCAAGGCTTCTTGCATGACGTACGGTTGCTATGATTGGGGTTCCCTAAAAACAAACCAAAGGAATGGGACTTTAAGAAAACCTTCTATAGGTAAAAGCATGCTTAATTTCATAATATCCAACAATCTGTGTGTTATTTGTGGCTTACCAGTAGCTTTTTCACAAATGAGGCCATGAGCAGTTGCAGTGCAAGGATTGGCCCGAAGTCCTGAGACCTGAGGCTCCTCCAAGTAGGCACAAAAACCAGAGTCACTGGGCTCTCCAGGCAGCCAGCGCAAGCTGCTATTGGTGAAGGGAGACATGTCCTCCCAACCCCAGTATGACACATTGATTTTCCTCAGGCCCACCCAGGGAGACAGTCGCTGTGGTAACAAAGCTGAAGTCAGTGGAAGTCTGAACAAAAATATCCTAAATGCTGTTCAGTCACGCTATTATAAAAAATAAATAAATAAAAATAATTGCTCCATTTCCACCTGGGAAGAAAAGATGCCATTAAATATCTGCCAAACATAATTTCACAGATATGTTTACTTATTTAACTCCACGACTCAGCTTTTAATGTAATGGGAAAATAATGTGGAACAGTACATCAAGGTACTGCTTGGAACAAACAACAAAGTTCTAAACTAGGCAGACAAACAGCTAATTATAGCCTCATGAGAACAGCATGCATGACCAACTCTGCAGAGCAGCTTTGCAATTGTTCTGAAGCTATAGGAGGAAAATGTAGCTATGAGGTCAGGAAAAGATGAGCAACTGCCCAACATTTTCACTAAGTAGCTTTAGCATTAAGACCATCAATAAAAATAATATTCATCATCTCTCCTCATTAATACAGAAAAATAGGAATAATCCTAGATTTCTTTTTAATAATTCAGCAGCTCACCCAGAGCCATAACTCTGTTGAACTGTCTATCCCATCTTCATCTTAGCAGTGATGATTTTTGTGGAATACTTCATTGATTCCATTAAAAATGAGATTAGCACCACTCTAAATATGATTGGTTTATCTCTGGAAGGTGAGGCAGCATCTGAGGTGTTATTTTTGATCAGGACCTGTCATTTAAATCCCATATCAAAGAGGTTTAGATGTTATCGGGTTAAGGGTTAAGTTTTGTCAATATCTCCCTTTTGTCTCATCTTTCTTTAAACTTGTCTTTTTTTTTGTAAAGTTGCCATAACATAATTTATTCCCTACATAAACCATAATAAAACTATTTAGATATTTAATTATAGCAGAGCACTGTGGTGAAAGCGATAATACTCCACTTGTGAGAGTAAAATCTGTTGGGCTCTTTCTGGCATTAAGACAACAATTCCTATTGCCACATTGCCAGATAGGACACCAAAAAAAAGCCTGATCCGGCGGGGGAGAATTTCAGTCTACATTTCTCGTAGGCTCTAACTTTCTGATATTTAATCCAAAATAGGCAGTTATCCTGAGCTTGTTTTCTGTATTTGTGATGCTATATGTTTGGCCTGCTGGATCACATAGAGCCCACTTCTTCTTGTTCTATCTCTATTTTGCAGTATTTGTTATGTTCCACTTTCAACCAATATGACTGCATTGTCTCTGTAAAGTGCCTAGAGATGACATGTGTTGAGAGTTGGCACTATATAATTTGAATTGATTTTTTTTTTTTTTATTAAATGGGGGAGACGGCGTATTAAGATTTATCATTGAAACTTTTGCTCTCTAATGCATGTTAGTTTAGAGCAAACAGATTAATGTAATTTGTTCTGGGAGCTAAAAATAATTCTTTTAATTCAATTAGTGTTTTTCCAGGGTACAATTGATTGGAAAACATCCATTCATTGAAGATTTCATCATTTTATGGCTCTAAAATCCACATGCAGCCTTAAGCCTGATACAGCCACTACCATGCTTAAATGCAAATTGATTATGTCATCTATACCAGCTGCCAAGCATGGTGTTGGCAGCATCATGCTGACTATTTTAATGAAGGAGTAATGACTAACAAATCCTTCTTTTAAAAAAAGCACCTAATCAATTGATTCTTACAGTCTAACATTCAGCGCCTGGAATTGATTTTCACTCAAATGTAAATTAGTAGACTATGATACAAACCTCATTAGCTATTGCAAAAGCATGAGGTTGAGTATCAACCTGCTAATGGACATTTAACTAAATGTTTGTAGTGCTTAATATAAGTCTGTGTGAATAATTGTGACCATGTTTGGAGGGTTGGTTGGATGAAGCTAAGCAAACATTTAACACTGTGAAGTTTTACCTGTTCTTGCTGCTGAAGCTTTTTTAGCTCCTCAAGCACAAAATCCACTTGCTTTGAGGTGGTGAGCGAAGCGATGTTCCCATTGAGGTTCTTGCAGTAGTGCTGGGCATTATCATAGCTCTCCCGGCTGGAGTTGATCCTTAGACAGGCGTCGCCCACCTGGCTCCAACCCTCACTGCACTGCTGGGCTATAAGTAGGGAATATAGGCAATAATATCATTCAAAATGATGTTTTAACTACAGTCAGAGGTAAACATTTTTCAATTTTAAGCATTTAAGTTAGAAAACACTTAACATGTAAAATCTAAATGTGTTGTTTTGGTATATATTTAATTTTCTAATTTGCATCTGCTGGTCTTAGGCTTTGCGTGTCTATGTGATCACCAAGTCCTTTTCATGCATGACAAATCCAGAGTCACACACAGACATAAAAAAGATATTATTTGGAGCTACCACTGCAATCCCCCTCAGGCGACAGCTCCTCATGAGCTGAAAATTACGGATAAAGTGACAGCACCATTTCTTTAGATTTTGTCGACGTCAACAACGGGGCCGGGTGGGAGGAAGTAGCTGAGAGGTAAACTAAATGCACTGGCAAAGCTGATAAACAACATCAGGATGACAGATTAAAAAAAAAAAAAACATGTTTACAAAAACCTCAGAAAAAAACAAAAAACAAACACCCTCTGCTGTGTTTAAAACACATACTCCGCACTAAACTTTATATAATCTGATGACGTAAGCCAAACCCTGATGGGTAAATTCATGGAGTATATAGCTTAATAATGCCTTTAACAGTGAGCATCATCAGATCCATTTGTAATTTCCAGGAAAGGCCAACATCCTTGACTCAAATAACAAAAAACATCTGATCAGCATCCCATGCATGCATTAGTGTTCATGCTCCACTTTTCGGGCTCACCAGGCAGCGAGTGGCACTGTGAGTGATTCTGCTCCCACTGACAGTTGAGATTCAGGGAGCAGCTCTTGCAGTTGGCGAGCTTGCTGCACACCTGCTCGGTGCGCACCGGGCACTCGGTGAAGTTCTTCACACCCTGGAAGCAGTGCAAAGAGGGGAAGGGTGATGAGAAGAGTGGCTGTAATTTCAAGATAAAATGAGGAAGTTTGCATCTGTTTGGGGAAATCAACCCCTTCAGAAGCAGCATCCAGCTTGGGTCATCATGTAGTAAACTGGACAGGACAACAGCTCGGTAAAAGGTTATAAATATTCAAAACTACCTCACTAACTAAAGAAAATATCATTTCTATGTGTTTCAGCAAGATACATTAACAGTGCTCTGCTGCCCCCTGTTGAAACACTCACAGAGGTGCAGTTGCTGGAGGCAGAGATACATTTCTTGTCATCACACCACTGGCAGCCTTTGGTGTTTGCTGTGCAGCTGCCACAGTCTGAGAACCTATAGCACCACTCGTCCGCTGCCACTAAAAATAGAGCACATTGAATATTTTCTTTTAGAGTTTGACTGAAATAAATAAAAATGGTGTAAAAATAAAGGTACAAAGATATTTCGTTATTCTGTCTTTACCTGTTTTAGAGGAGCAGTAAGGTACGGAAATAGAGCTGCCATTAAGCACGCCTAGTTCCCAGGGGACACAGCGGCCCCTGCTCCAGATGCAGCGGACCCCAGGCCCTGCCCTTACACACCACTCCTCTGCCAAGAAGGCCTGGCAGCTGGGAGGTCGGTATACGAGCACATCATTCAGCAAGACGCTGGAAAAGCCCCCGAACACATACATAGACCTGACAGAAAAGAAGTGCCTCATTAGAACCAAGGTTAACGGCCTGAAACTACAAAGGACACAACAGATTTATGAAATAGTATTACTTAATATTACTTTAAATAACTTCTAATTTAGACCCAAGCAGGTTTAAAATCTGCATTTTAGTCAAACTTTGTTGCCATGTTTATTAGAGAAACTGTTTAACAGGCTTCTGTCAATACTTCTTACAGTTTTGGACTTGAGATTTGTTGGGCTCAAATAGAAACAGTTCCTCTTCTGAGCAGAAATGTAACATGCAAAATAATAAAATAATGGATGTCCACAAGCATAAGAGGTTGGATGGATAAATATCAGGTAGATACAAGGATGTAGGTTTGATTTCAACTTTGGTAGGGATACTATTGGTCTGATGTCATTGGTCCTATGCGAAAAAATATGCATGCTTGTTTTTTTTATGCTTGACGTGAAAATCAAGGTGCATTTTGTTTAAAGAGAAAAGCAGCATTTCTTGTTACATATGTACAAATTTTATAAACGCTACACACCCTAGATGCTGTTTATCAATGTTTGAAGCATCACCGGCTGAATGAGGAATTATGACTTTTTTCCACTTTGAAAAGGTTTGCATTTGAAATTACCAGCGTCTAAGACAGAAAGTAAATCTGTGCCTATTTAACAAAATATAGTCTAAATATTTTTGTCATATGAGGATTTATCCTGTTTTTTCTTTTGAAGATATAGAATTGTGCAGAGGTAAACCCCACTCTTATCTTTCAAATATTCTCTCTGTATCATGAAACATCATCATGGATAGAACAACAGTTGGATGGACAGCTGGTTCTCATCCATCCATTTTCCATCACGCATATGCCAGCTGGATCACGAGGGGTGCTGGTGCCTATCTCCAGCTCTATCGAAGGGCAATATAGGCTAAAGACACAGTTGCTTAGGGCGCAATCTGCTGAGGAGGGCGCTTTTGCACTCTACAAAAACTCAAGGAAGAATGCAAATAAATCAAGTGAAAGAAATAATAGCATTAATGTGCAATCAAGACTGGCACCCGTTTCTGTTGCTATAGATTAAACATGGGTTGTTCTCCATTCTAACAAACCTCTTACTGCTGTCAATTAAATTTGCAGAGAAAGAATACTGAACTTATCCAAAAATGCAACACAATCAGTTGGTCCAACTTAAGATGAAGAAATGTTTAAATGAAATCGCAGCATTTAGGCTGATTGCTCACCTTAATGTTAGCAAATTGCTGTTCCAAGCTGATGTTAGCATAATATCTGAAACTTCTAACAGATCTCTTTCACTATTTGGGTTTTCTTTAAGGCAAAGTGATAGTTTATAAAGAGTTACCCACTGAATAGCGGTTAGATTGTATGTATGAAGGTCCTAATAAAGCTGTGACAACCTAAATAGATTTTCTATTTCTATTTCACTGGACCTTGTTTCATCTTTTTTTATGTTCTTGATTGCTTTTACTAATTGTAAGCGTCTGTATTTTTGCACTGTCTGGTGACGCAAAGACAATTTTCCACCCTGGCAGCCAATAAAGATCAATTCTACTCTATTCCATTCTTTTCTATTCATGAAACAATCTTACAGTGTTTCTCATTCTGAGCATAAACAGAATGGAGTCTTGAACTGAATAGTAAATAATCCTTTTTTTTTAACCAATCCTTCAGACAATAGTTGGTAAATTAGATTATTAAACTTATTTTTCTATTTATTGAATGTAGGTCATGCTGTAGACCTAACTTTGTTTTATGTGGAGGTCCTGATTTTCTTTGGCTAATTTAAACTCATCTAAGGAGAAAAAAAACAGTCAAACCAACCAACTGACCTGCACAGGACAGAACAGATGGAAAAGGCTTTTTTCCAGAATGTTTTGGAACCCTGTACCTCTCACTTAAGAAACTAACCAGTTTAAATTAAATGGAGAAATTATTTTTATTTTAAATACCTACCCATTGCTAACAACAGCCGAGTGGCCAAAGCGGTTGACGTCCCTGTGCAGGTCTGGTTTTGGCAGGAGTGTCCACTCGTCACAAGCTGAGGAATACATTCTCTTTGTCAATATCCAACAAATAAAAAGCATGGTCATGTATTCAACTACAATTTTTCATTCTCTTTAATAAACAGCTCAAAATTAAATGGAGTAAAAAGTTAACACAACTCTTAGCATCACTTTTACAGAAAAAAAACAAACATTTCTTTTAGTTACTGTATGTTTGAACATGAGACTTACCGATATCATATGCCAGGAAGTCAGCAGAGAAGCATTTGGCACCGTTGCTGAGTGACGTGTCATTATGCGTGTTTCCACCAAAGACAAGCAGAGTGCCGCTGAGAAGCACCGCGGAGTGCAGGTACCGTGGAAAGCCGCTTTCTCTTAGAATGAACCTGTGAAATGTGAAAGACAAGTGTTTATCGCGGACAGCTGTAGCAAGAAAGCGTGTGACACAAAGCGTCACACACCATCTGTAAAGGATAATGAACGGCGAAAGCGGTACACGATTATCTTGATTTACCATGTCCTTGTGTTCACGTCGTAGCGGTAGAGGTCATCCACAAGGCCATATTTGCCGGCTGGCAGAGCTTTAAAGCCTCCATGGACATAGATGCTGCTGCTGGAGCCGTCATAAGTGCTGCTGTGGCCATAACCTCCCTGTGGAATGGCCCCTTTAGTCTCAGGTACCAACCACACTTTGGATCCTAAATGGAAAACATATTAGGAAAGCTTAAAATAAAAGAATTCACTCGCTGTTGAATCAAATTTCCTCCCACATAATAATTGAATTTACAAAAGATTTAAATCATCAGGAATTTACTACAGTCACAAACATCGGTAGGCTTTTATTAAAGGAATCAGACAAATTAAAAAGTTTAATGTTTTAAACTTTTCTACATTTCATCGACTTAAAAGTAAAATCTACAACGATTAGGATTTTTTGTGAAACACCAACAGAAACATAACTGTATAGAGAGAGAAAAAAAAATGCATCTGTCGCGTACAATAATTTTTAGCCGGCTTACACCCATAAGAAAAAAGGAAGATCAATTTAGATTTATAAAGGAGTGACAAGAAAACCTAAAAATTAAATAAATAAATAAATGTCACTTTTTTGGAAAACATGCAAAAATACTGGTGTGGTGGAAAACGAAAGTTACTACCGTAACTACGGTTCTATGAATCCCGGATGACCGCCAGAGGCGGTGCTTCAAGCACTGAATGATCATTCTTGCGCATGCGCAGGTCGAGTATTAATGACAACAAAGTCAGCTGTGACCTGCCGGGGACCCACGTGACTCTATATAGTCACGTGGCACCCGGCAATCAATCCCTCAATCTTCTCGCGAAAGCAGAGATTCCGAGGGACCAAGCACTCTGGCGGTCATCCGGGATTCATAGAACCGTAGTTACGGTAGTAACTTTCGTTCTATTTCATCCCTACTGACCGCCAGAGGCGGTGCTTCAAGCACTGGATGACTCATATCAACAAGGTCACGAGGAATCAGCAACATTCAAGGAACAACGACTACACCACCCACCTAATGTGATGTAGAGGCATACTGCTCGAGGATTCCCTGAAGCGGATGGGGCGCAGCCACATTCACCCTGTAGAACCGAGTAAAGGTACTAGGTGACTTCCAGGAGGCCGCACGACATATAACATCCAATGGCACCCCAGTCATAGCAGCAAACGATGTCGACATGCCCCTTGTAGAGTGGCATTTCACTCCCGCCGGCAGTGGCCGGTCCTGCAAGGCATAAGCCTTGGAGATCAAATCCACAACCCAGTGTGCAAGTCGCTGCTTAGAAAGTGCCTGACCTTTCCGTGAGCCAGCGTAGCAAACAAAAAGGCTATTTGTCTTTCGGAAGGATGCCGTGGCATTGATGTATGTCTCAAGGGCACGGACAGGACACAGTGGTTCAGAGGGACTTCCGGAGTCAAACCGGGCAAGATGGAGAGGCTGGGTGCTGCCTGCTGGCAGTGATACCTTAGGAATAAATGCTACATCAGCCCACAGTGTAACGCCTGAGCCATCAGGATTCCACCGGCAGCAGGGTTCGGCTATCGAGAGAGCCTGTAACTCCCCTACACGTTTTGCGGAAACCATAGCTAAAAGGAACGCAGTCTTCAGTGAGAGCCATTTGAGGTCCGCCGACGCCAGGGGCTCAAATGGGAGGGACCGAAGAGCCTCAAGCACAAGAGAAAGGTCCCACGCCGGTGCCACAGGGCGGTTGGGTGGGTGCAAACGCCGAGCACCTCTTAAAAACAGTACAACATCCTTGTCTCGGCCCACAGAACAACCATTCAGCCCAACATGCCAACAGGAAATGGCAGCCACATACACCTTTAAGGTAGATGGGGACCGTCCTTGATCCAGCAATGCCTGCAGGAAGGTCAGTATGTCAGAAACTGAGCACTGCACCGGGTCCTGCCCTCTATCACGGCACCAGGTCGCAAAGACCGTCCACTTGTTAGCATAGACAGCTCGCGTGGACGGCGCCCATGCATTAGCCATTGTATGCCCTATGGACCCAGTGTATCTTGAGAAGGTGGACCCCGGCCTTGCAGGGGCCAAATCCAGAGCTGGAGCCGGTCCGGTTCGGGGTGCAAGATCTGACCCCCCATCTGGGAAAGAAGGTCTCTCCTGGAGGGGAGACGCATTGGCGAGCCGGAGCTGAGCTCGCACAGTAGAGGAAACCAAGTCCTCGCTGGCCAGTAGGGGGCCACCAGCAGGACCCTGTGCCCCTCCTGACGTACCCTGAGGAGAGTCTGAAAAAGTAGGCTGAATGGCGGAAAGGCATAAAGGAGGGTCCTGGGCCAGTCGTGTGCCAGAGCATCGTGGCCCAGAGGGCTGCTGTTGTCCAACGAGAACCAAAGGGGACAGTGAAATGCGTCCCTTGAGGCAAAGAGGTCCACGTCCGCCCTGCCAAAGACCTTCCAGATGCACTCCACCACCTCTTGGTGAAGCTTCCACTCCCCTGGAAGCGGCTTCTGACGGGATAGAAAATCTGCTGGCACGTTCTCCGGCCCTGGGATGTAGGCTGCTCTGAGGCTGGCTATGCGTGGAGCTGCCCAGGTCAGAAGCCGTTGAGTCAAGCACAACAGTTTCCTTGACCTCGTGCCCCCCTGGTGGTTGATGTGAAAGACCACTGTGGTGTTGTCTGACCTCACCAGCACGTGCTTCCCCCGCAAGCCTGGAAGAAAGCTCTGAAGAGCCAGAAGCACAGCCTGTAACTCCAGGACATTGATGTGTTCCCTGCCCTGCCGCTGGGACCATGTCCCCTGTGCCATTTGACCCCGCCAGGTTGCACCCCAGCCCGTGGAGGATGCATCTGTAAACACAACTTCCCGACGACACGGGAGGGAACCGAGCGGGACCCCTGTGGTCATAAACAACCTCACCCTCCATTGGGACAGAGACTGAAGACACTGAGGCCCCACCCGAAGTCTTCGGAGACGATGAGTGTTCCGTGTGGGATCCAGATTCAAGCTGTTCAACCACATCTGGAGGGGCCGCAATGACAGCAGCCCCAAGGGCACTACGGCGGACGCAGCTGTAAGCATGCCCAAGAGTCGAAGATACCGCACAAGAGGCAGCGCCATGCCGCGCCTGAATTCCGGGAGCACGCTCAATATACTGTCCACCCGCTGGGGTGACGGGCAAGCAGTCATTGAGATGGAATCCATGGCAATGCCCAGGAAGACAGTCTCCTGTGAGGGGGTCAGACTGCTTTTCTCCATGTTCACCTGCAAGCCCAAGCATCCCACATGATGGAGCACTAACCGAGTATCTCGAACCGCCTGGTCCCACGTCGCGGCACAAATGAGCCAGTCGTCCAGATATGGGAGGATCCTCAATCCCTGTGCCTGCAGAGGAGAGAGGGCCGCTGCAACACATCGGGTGAACACCCTGGGGGACAGTGAAAGTCCGAACGGGAGGACCCTGAACTGGAAATGCCTCCCTTGAAAAGCAAAACGAAGAAACCGCCAATGGGGCGGAGCGATCGGAACGTGAAAATAAGCATCCCTGAGATCTATGGAAGTGAACCAATCGCCCGGGGAAATCGCCTGCAACACTTCCTTGGTGGTCAGCATATGAAAGGGCATGGCCTTCAAGTACACATTCAGGCCTCTGAGGTCCAAGACTGGACGCAGGCCCCCGGTCTTCTTCGGAACCAGAAAATACGTGGAATAAAAGCCCCCTGGATCCAGCAGAGGGTCCACAGGCACTATAGCACCCTTGGCCAGCAAGGTGCAGATTTCTTGGTTCAGTGCCTGTGCCTTCACCGGGTCGTGGATCACAGTCATCCTGACCCGGCCAGGGATAGGTGGCCGGCGGCGGAATTGAAGACGGTACCCCCGGGACAGGGTGGACAACACCCACAAGTCCGGGGTGTGGGCAGCCCAGAAGCTGAGCTGTCCCGGGGAAAAATAACCGACCGCCGGCCCTAAGGCATCATCTGCGGGTCCCCCGGCCCTTCGAAGGCCCGGGAGGACGCCGGCCAGACTGCGCGGCTCGAAAGGGATGAAAGGACCTCGTCCCAGCCTGGTCTCGAGCTCTGTTCCTCCGATCTAGAGCAGGTCCCCGGACCGATCTCTGACCTGGTAACAGACCCTGGGGCTCAGTGGGAGAAGGAGAAGGCACTAAGGACCTCCGTGAAGGACCCGCAGCTGCCCAGGTGCTTACTGGCTGGCGATCACGTCTGTGAAGCCCTGCCAGCTGTTGCCTCGTTCTAGAGGCCTGAGCCGTACGGTCCAAGGCGTCCAGTGCCGCTGAACCAAAAAGCTCCCCCGGGACCACAGGCAGGGCCCGGAGGGTCCTCCTACAAGGCTCAGTTAGTGGTGACTGCGCCAACCAGACCTGGCGGCGAGCATGAACCAGTGTGGAGAGTGTGCGTCCAAGTTCCCTCGTCATAAGAGCAAAGGCCTGCAGAGATGCATCAACCAGGCCTTGCGTGGCATGATCCAGCGGAACAGATTCCAAGGAGGAAGACAGGGCCAGCATAAGATGGGAGAGAGAGTTCCCAATCCGGCCCATGCGGGCCCCAGAGTCATAGGCCTTACAGAGAAGGTCGTCGGTAATACGGCACTGAGGACGCGGACAACGGGCATTGGGCCGCAAGGCCTCATCAGGCGGGATTATAAGAGAGGCAATGCCCGGTTCCACCGCTGGCATCTGCCCCAAGCCAACCTTGGGTGCCTCCTGCATAGCTGCCAGGACCCTGCCATCCGTCGTCAGACGTGAAAACGCCTTGGTGTCTGACCAGCAAGCATGCAGTTCCCGCACATACTCCGCCGAGGGAGGAACCACAAAGGCAGTCTCTGACCTACTGCGCCTAAAGAAGGCGCTGGAAGCCGCAGGCTGGGCCTGAGGAACACTAATCTGTAAACGGGCAAGAGCCGTTCGAATAGCGGATGTCACAGACTCCCCCGTATCCTCCTGGGAGGCAATGGAGTCCGACCCAGAGGCCCCGGAGCCCAGCTCCGGAAGGTCCTCACAGAAATGGGTGCCAGAGGCCGCCACAGAAACAGCATCGTCGTCATTGACTGACGTTTCATCCTGCTCGGTAGGGAGAGCCGTGCCGCGATCACCAGCAGTCTGAAAGGACTGGAGGAGGGCTTTCATTTGGGCCAGCTCAGTAGTGAGATGATCCACTCTGGTGGACAACCTCCCTGCATCGGTCCGTCTAGCACGCTTCGTCGGTACCGAAGGTGCAGCCACAGTAGATCGTTTGCACACCACTTTCTCCATCGGCAAACGAGCACGCGGCGAAGCGCTCGCCCAGTCGGTAGGCTGCTCCAGTGCAGCCAACCGATCCAGTCTGACCGACCGGGGCATGACGCGACAGTTGGGGCAAGCGTCATCTGACAGCGCCTCCCGGAGATGTTCCACACCGAGGCAGGAGGGACACAAGTCATGCCCGTCATCCGGCTGAAGTGGAGCCAGACAGGTCGAGCAACATAAATTATCCAGCATCATACTGCTGAAAGGCGTGATCAGCCTGCTACCAAGGACAAGTCAACACGAGCAGGAAACGCTACTGGCGACTCGTTGTAGGAAAACCCCCGCAGAGATTCCAAACTCAGCGTGAGCAGAAACGCCACTAGCAAATCGATTATTAACTAAAGATGAACTCAGCACGAGCAGAGACGCCACTGGTGAGTTTAGGCAAACAAACTATAGAAGAACCCAACGCGAGCAGAAACGCTACTGGTGGGCTTAGGCAAACAAACTGAAAACAACTCAGCGCGAGCAGAAACGCCACTGGTGAGTGTAGATAAACAAACTATAGAAGAACCCAACGCGGGCAGAAACGCTACTGGTGGGCTTAGGCAAACAAACTGAAAACAACTCAGCGCGAGCAGAAACGCCACTGGTGAGTGTAGATAAACAAACTATAGAAGAACCCAACGCGAGCAGAAACGCTACTGGTGGGCTTAGGCAAACAAACTGAAAACAACTCAGCGCGAGCAGAAACGCTACCGTGAGTCAAAAGAGCCACAAAATTAACGTGGCAAATCAAAGCGAACAGTAAACTACTGCTGAGAAAAGAACGAAAACTTACCAGTCACCGCAGATCTGGTAAGGTGAAAGCAGCTTGTGCAGCCCCTGGAGGGCGAGACTTACCCGCAGCTCCGACCAAACCCGGTCACGGGGCTACCAGCAACAAGCAGCCAGAAAACTAGTGGTATACACAGAAGCAACCAGCTTCACACGACCACACTCCGGTACTCAACACACCTGCGCGCGAGAAGAACAAAAGGGATTGATTGCCGGGTGCCACGTGACTATATAGAGTCACGTGGGTCCCCGGCAGGTCACAGCTGACTTTGTTGTCATTAATACTCGACCTGCGCATGCGCAAGAATGATCATTCAGTGCTTGAAGCACCGCCTCTGGCGGTCAGTAGGGATGAAATAGAACCAACACCAAACATCACCAATCATCCTTCCTTCTCTGAAACTTGGTAGCGGCAGCATCATGCTGTGGGGATTCTAGTTAGAGTAAGAGGGAATCTATATGCAGTTAATTACAGAAAAAAATCCTGATACCAGTCCCTGTTGAGACACTGCAAAGGGCTGGATGTTAACCTACCAGAAGGACGACAGAGTCATATTTAAAAGGAAATAATCAGGTCAAAGGTTACAACTGAAAATATTTGAAAATCCTTGGCAAGGATGTTCTCCCAGACATCCTCCATTCAAACAGAATAAGCTTGACCTTCAACATCATGTCCAAAAACTATCAGATAAAAACACCGGACAATATAATCTAAGGCCTAATAGGTAATAGTCTCAGGCTATCAATACATGTCGAAGTTAGGATGGAAAAAAATAAACATCAAGCCCTTTTTCTCCTTAAACTGATAATCAACTTGAATAAAACATTTTACACTCAGCCCATGTATTCCCTGGGCCGTTCACACCGTGCCACCATTTCTAGAACTCACCCTCAATTAAAACTTAAGTGCCTTGGCGTCATCCTTGGCCCACACCACTCATTACCTTCTCTTTACGAGCTGGCAGGCCTGGACAGCATTTTAACTCTGATCTTTTTTTTTTATGGTTTCCAAATAACGATCACTTTGTTGATCGATTAATCTGTCAATTCTTTTTTGGATTGATTGATGAATTATTTTCTTTTTTTTACAGAATTAAAAGCAGGTGAAATTAACTTTTCCACTTGAGGAGTTCTGGATAGAGCATATTGATGGACTAAGTTTTTTTTTTCATCATAAATTTAAAAAAGGTTGTTGTTTTTTTTCTCCATTTTGGTATAATTAATGTTCAAAGTGGGTTGCTTTGTCGGTTAAGACTTTTTTTTAGTCTGTATACTCCTTTAATCCATTAATCGAATACTAAAATCAGCTTACGATTATTTCAATAATTGATTAATCACAATTAATTGTTTTATTTCTAATCTGCTTACTGGTTATTGCTTTTTTAAATCTGTAACCATTTCCTATATTATGACTTTTCCATTTTTCATTTAGTACCATGTTTATCCAGAAGGCGATCTTGAAAGATGCTTGTAAATAAAATGGATTATATTACAGAAGTCATCAGGGAATTGATTTAAACACCAATTTTGTCTTTAACATGATCTGTTGAACTTTATCTAGCTTTTGCTAGTTTCACACAATTTATAATTTTATTATAGCACAGCTAATTTTCTGTGGCACATTATTCGCATGCCTGGAAGGTTAAACTTTTTGCAGCCCGACTCGAAAATCTTTCTACTCTGTTTTGCTCCCTTCATGTTTTTAATAAACCTAATGACCAATCATGGTTATCAGCAAAGTCACTGGAGGGGAGAGAAACACTGATGACAGTGGCAAGTACTCAGATGATTTGGTTACAGATGGAAATAACACTCATTACTTTAACTCCAAGAGGAACAATCAGTGACCGTCTTTACAGATATTGGCCCGCTGCCCATTCTGACCTGCATATATCCAAGGAAAACCTTTGTCTCCACTACTTTGATTCTTTCCATCTCCACTAAGTTTGTGATGTTTTTCCAAAAGTTAAAATAATGGAACGCTGGCATACCCACTGACGGATGTTTGCTTAGGAAAAACCTGCCCTACCCTATTTCTGATTGGCTAATATCACGTCTCTGCCTGGTTTCATTCTTTGAGAGCATTCTTAGTTAAATACCTTGAATAAAAATTTTAAATGAAAAGGCTACAGAAAATTTGGATCTCAGGCGTAGCCTACTGTCCATAAATCGAGCCACTAGTGCTGTAAAAACAGAACCAAAAAAAAGAAATAATTTGGATCTAGTTTTTTTCTCCTGTTTTCCAATAGACAGAAATCGATTACAGTGAATGAAAAATTAAAACACGTCTGTCAAATCGGACCTAACGGCAAGACAGAAACATTTTCTATTGGTCACATAAAATGTTCTTTAAAGTTCTACGTATCAATCTGGGATGGCTGCTGTTTAGTTCTGCCCATGAAAAGGAGGGACGTCTAGTACCACACTTCGATGTGATTGGGTGACGTGCCAGCTAGTACCCGCCTTCTATAATACACTTTCAGCCCATTGCAGCACAGAATTTTGACATTTCAGACTTGCACCAGAAATGACAGGTGGGACGAGTTTACTGAAATGTAGGTCATTGTCGGATGTTTATAGAGAAGTCATCATGTCAACATGCAACGACGTTTGTAGAATTTGCATGACAAATCTGCCCATAAACGGCGTTTTAAGCAACACAAAGTTGATTTTTTTGAACATCGTCAACCCTATAATGAAAAAACTTTTCCAATGATTCTGGGTTACCAAACACCAGCTGGTAATTGCGATTCAGGACTTAGCCATCATTTTCACCCAGCTTCATAGCAGAAATAACCAGCTTCAGGAACTTTGTCGTCCATGAGAGCCACCAACGGAGACACGATGATCACAATAGGATTTGGCTGCAGCTTCTTCAGTGTTTTCACAACTGGCAGAGTAAGCTGATAAATCAAATTTTCAAATTTGAAAAGCACAGATATCTTTCCCATCTGCAAATTTACAAAGTGTCTCTCTTTGCTCCTTTTTTGAACGAGAAATTTTCACTATTTTAGCTAAAACCGAATCAGTTGCAGTATCGACAGGTGAGTCCTCCACCATGTTTGTAATGCCCCAAGCAAGGCCCTTCTGACTGCTGTGATTCCTACATGTCCCGCCCCAAAAAAACACTGCTTGCATGTCATTGGTCCAACTCGCTGGTTGTTAACAGGCTTTCAAGATGGATTTTTTTGTGAGACTAAGATCTCGCGACAATCCAGCTTGCAGCGCCAGGTTAATTATACCCTGCTGGTATGAGTTTTCATGGACTCAATGAAGAGGAAAACTGAAACTTGTAAATTTCATAGTTTTAAGAAGGTAATATAATCCACTTCTTTATTGCTTAATTAATCTGAAATCTGACTTAACCAAGGAGCTGCAACTTACTCGGATTGTACTCCTGAACGTTGTTGATGTAGCTGTAGATGGGGGAGTAACCAAAGATGACCAGCATGATGGTCTCGCCGCTGTTCAGCTGGACGCAGTGGGCCGTGTGGCCCTCCACAGCGTAAACCTGAGCTTGGGCCGACGAGCCCACAACGGGGCTTCTGCGTTGCCACGTCCGACTCTGTACGTTGAACACCCACAGCTCATCTGTAACGTTGCCCCCGCTGGGTTCAAGCTTCCCACCAAACATGTAGATTTCATCCTGAAAAGCATAGAGCTTAGATTAGCCTGAATATTGAGATATAGAATGCATTTAAAAGGGAGGAACCTTTCAGAGGGTTTAAGCCTGTTAACAAAAGTTTAACAAATCAGATTATATTTTAATCTCGGGCTCCCATGATACATATTTTTTTTCTATTATAAAGGAAGTAAGAAAAATCCAAAAGATAGTGAATACAGCTTTTTAAGTGTAAAAAAACAGATTTTAGTGCAGCAGCTATTACTGCTTCCTAGATGCACTTTAAAAATGTAATCAAACTGTGCAGCTAGACAGCGTTTTGATCTACCCCAACATGCATCAGAGCAAGCGACACCTGCAGGTACCTGGTAGGCTGCAAGCGAGTGTCCGTATCTTGGCACGGGCCCCCCACTGATGGGTACTGTGTTCCAAACGCCACTCTCAAGGTTGTAGCTACAAAGAGAGGCACATTACATTTCAGCTAAAACCCCAACATGCATCATAAAATCTAATTTCAGACGCTTGAAATAAAAGAAAACATTAAATGACACATGCAACTTTTTTCCTCTGTGGTAAGAGATAGACTTGCAACAGCCAATAGACCTAAATATATCTGTGGTTATCAGAAAACTAGCAGAATTGCTGTGAATCTCTGCACAAAGTAACCCATCTAAATGTCTGAGAAAACAGTACAACTAATATAATCTTTACTTGTGTTTGTTAGTGTCTGATCGTTTTCTTAGGCTGCATTAAGTTTCAAACAAACAGTTTCAAACACACACATCTCTACGAAATCAAACAGGACTTTAACATGGCACACGGCGTCAGCAAGATAGTATAGCAGTCGTGGCGTGCTACAGCACTATGGCATCTGTTGCAAATGGCAGAGACACAACACTCCAGTAAATGGTGGGGAGGGGCTCATGTCAGGGAGAAAAATAAAAACAATAACTGGACGTTGTTTTTGGCATCATTCATGGCCTGACATTTCATATTATAACTCAATCATTTAGGCTAAAATGGACAAAAATCATAAAAGTGTGAAACAGATGTGCCTTTCACACCTGTTGCAGCACACTGCTGGTCAGCTGGCTGATAGAAGGCTACTATTGTTTTGCCTAACTTACAAAAAACTTATGTTTGAAAATACTGAAAAAAAAAAATGACTGGACCAATAAAAAATATTATCTACTTCTAAGCTTCTGCAAGGTAAGTTTATTTGTTGAGTATAATTCAGTCCAAGGACAATTCAAAGTGCTTTATATAAAAATAGAAGAAAAATAAAAGCAGAAAAATAATAATAACTAATAAAGATAAAACATGATAGAAGCAGAAAGAAAAACAAAACAGTTTGACCACAACCTTCACAGTCAAAGACAGTTCTAAACAAATGGGCTTTTAACTTTGACTTAAAAGAACTCAGGCTTTCAGCACTATTACAGTCTTCTGGGAGTTTGAAACCACTGATGCAGTAATAAATTCTACTAGAGATAAAGGCATGAATGAGTTTTTTCTAGTTTCTGTTGGGAAACTAGTCCTTTAAACCTGAAAATGTTCTTCAGCTCATAAAAGGCTTATTTAGTAACAGCTTTTATGAGTCTCTGAAGGTTCAAGCCTATCATGACACCAAGATTTAAGCTGTAATCGGTGGTTCTAAGCATCTAGCAAACCCTCTGATGGGTTCATAGTCACCTGGTGTCAATGTGATGTCGAGCTGTGTATGGTCTGCATTTCTTTAGTAACAATCTGAGCTAAAGGGATCATGCAGACATTGAACAGGAGGGGCCCCAGAATGGAGCCTTGAGGAACCCCACATGTGATTTTTCTGTTCTCTGATTGAAAGTTTCCTACTGACACATAAAAGTAGCTATCATTTAGGTTGGATTTAAACCAGTCCAGTGCAGTACTAGAAAGGCGGACCCAGTTTTCCAGATCCTCTAATAAAATCGAGTGATCAACAGTATCAAAAGCTGCACAAAGGTCCAACAATACCAGAGCTGTGGTTCTTCCAGTTTAAAATTAAGAGTCTTAGGCATAAATATTGTCAATCTAAAATGTCCAAAAACATATCTTCATGTGTTTTTAAGAGTTCTGTTTTTTAGTTCTGTTTTTAATCATTTTATAAATACAAAAAAAATGAACTTGTGTTTTTTCTACTGATAGTTGCTGTTTTTTGACTGTAAACAATCGGGTTAGTCTTACAGGAAACCTTTCAACATATTTGTAAAACAGAAATGTCCTTAAAACTGTATGTCAGGCAATATTCAATAAACTTAAATACATTTTCAAATGAGGCTTTTTTGTCAGATTAAACGTACCTATTAAAAATAACAACCCTTACTAAACACACTTTCATTACTCCCACTTTTCAGTATTAACCAGTTAGCATATCACTGCTCCAGTTCAGCTACAGTAATAAGTGCACAGCATTTACAGCCCATGTGCAACAAAAATGCACATCAATGCTCTGGTAATCAAAAAAGACAGAACAGGAATATCTGGATTTATTGCACCTGGTAATAAATAAACAAATTAGCGGAACGTCATCAAGAAAACTGCTCATATGGAAATGAAGAACCACTAACAGATTGAAAGCTGTGCTTATAGATGAAACTACAAGCTGTTCATACCAGCCTTACATCTGAAACAGCATCTCAGTTCTTTACAAAGCAAATTAAGCAGTCCAATGTCATTCAAAATAAAAATTAAGTAATAAACAAAACCATACATTTCACAAGAGATTATAAAAGCTATCTGGTATGAATAACTTACTTCAGAATCATCTGGAATGAGGTGTAGTTAAACGTGTATCCACCCACCACCCACATGACCTTCTCCTGTACCACTGCTTTATGTGAAGCCCTGGCAAAGGAGGTACCAAAGGGCTTGACGCTGGGCAGAATCCAGAAGGACTCGGTCGATGGTACAGTCAGCGAGCAATCTGGGCCTGCAAAGGTGAACAGAACAGAGAAGCATAAAAACTGGAGAATATATCAAAAACAACAAAAAACAATACAGTGCCTTATTGTCATGTTGTTTTTTTAAATAAATAAATATCTTTAATTATGGTCTACTTTTGTGTCCAATCCACCCTTTAAAATTATATCCCTAAATACTTCTAAATTAGGTGCAAAAAATCCCCCAGTTAGTAAATAAAGTCCCCATGAGAGGGATTGAATCTCAGTAAAAAAAAACAGGCGTTTTATGAAGGCAAGCAAGCTTTCACAGAGAACATCTGTGAACAATCAGCATCATGAAGACCAAAGAACAGCAGGTAGGTGAGAGATACAATTATGAAAAAGCCTTCAGATGGATGGATGACATCAACACAACTGTAAAAAGCAATGGCAGCATCATGTTATGGAGATGCACTTCACAAGGAAAACAAAAATGCTTCAGAGTTATTAGGAATACGATTTTAGATATAAAGGATGTATATTGATTAACAATTTTAATCTAATCCAACCACTAGTTCAAACACAAGATGTACAAGAATATATTCATATATGTGTTTTGTTTTTTTTTCCTGATGCATATATTACTTTTTTTTTTCATACACTTACTTACTACCAGGTTTTTTTTATGTATACAAAAACAAAAAACATTTTCTATAAATCACTCTAAAAATTTTGCATATTAAAATTTTGAACTGACTAAAATTATTAGTTCATCTAATAATAATAATAAAAAAAAATCTTAAACTAAAAAGTGATTTGATCCAGAAAGTGAAGCCTAAAAGTTAAGTGGCTGCCAAAGAAAACATTGGCGTGACACAACACAGCTGTTTCTGCTGTGCCTCGTAGCGCACTGCAGAGGGAGAAGCCGTATAAACAGGCCTGTAAGGAACAACTACAGGCATATGATGCCAAAACTACAGACAGAGCTTTAAAAAAAGGGAGGGGTCAACAGTAGTGGGATTATTCAAACCCTCCAAAGCTATTTTACACAGGTTGGCTTTTTGCTGACCTTCAGGAGTTTTGACTTAAATTAGACCTCTGCAGAGGTATCTAATGTCAAGCTGTTAGAGGCAGACCAGCTAAGTCTTTAAAAATGCGTGGTGAAGCCTCCATATATTAAATAAACTTGCCCGACAGGTTCAACAAATGGTGCATTACATAAAGATCGTATTCATTAATACATAAAGTCATGACCTCAGGGTTGTTTTTCTCCTCGCAACCGCAGCTCATTACCATGCTGTGAACTGGAGCTGTAGGATTTCTGTCAATAAGTGCAACAAATCAGGGTTGCTGTTATTTTGCATGTCTGAAATATCCAGATCAACTGTCCTTGGGCATCACTGAAGCACTATAAACCTTCATTCCAGCGCCTTCTTTAATGCTCAAATGTCCATTGTGGACACATCTGGAGGATGAGAAGTGTGGTCCATCAGTCTGAGGCATGTCCATTCAAAATAAATACTGTTGAAGTATGTAACCATTTAAAATGTAAGTCAGTGATTAAAGGGCACATTATACTTCTGCAACCGCACACATCAAATGTTGCTTGGGTGTGGTCGCGAACCAGTTTTGCTGGTATGCTTCTGCACCATCGAGAATTCGAGAGAACTTTGGTGGATGGTCACGAGAACTTTGGCGGCACTGGCGGGAGTGTTTATCCTTTAAAACAACAATGGCGCGTCTGCAAGATACCGTTAACCTTTTGTCGTAGTTGTTCCTCGGTTTTTAAAAAATGGAGCGCCCCGGCACTGAATCGAGGACGACCACACAGACATCCGGAAAGGCATACCAAGGACCAATCACAGTTGCTTTTTGTGCTACGCACTTCCGCTTGAGGTCTGCGCGGTTTTTGCGACCGCTGTAAAAGTCCAAAGTTTTTTATCCTAGTTGTTTTCTGTCCTACAGAGTGATTTTTACTACCCATAAATAAAAGCACAACAAAAAGCATTTTTGCCAATTAACATGACTGTATTGTTGATGATTACAACCTCGGATTCTTCTCTCTGTTCATGGCACAAAAAAGATTAAGTTATAACTTTATAGTTACCTTCATTTTAAATGTAATAATCAATACGCTTTTACTTTAGTTGAAGCAGAAATTAAACCAGTTTTATCTATTTTAAATATAAGCACTTGGATAACTTTGTATTGTTTTAAGGTCCATATTTTGAGACCAGGAAAAATACAATAAAATCTCCTGTAGATTTACTCAAGCTGAAAAAGTGGAAAAAATGCCAGCTTTTCGTGTTTTGACAAATACGTCCCGCTTCCAGATGTAATCTAACATATAACATGATCTTTTTCCCCCTCGGCTCTCACCTTGCCAGCTGTCATTGCAGACACACAGCTTCTCTCCGGTGAGGTCACAGTAGCCGTGGTCGGGGCTTCCACAGTTGTTCCTGCAGTAGGGGATGTCACAGGCCTCACCCTTCCAGTATTTGTCACATTCACAGTACACCCTGCTGGCAGCCGAGTTCCCCGGGGTGCACTTTCCATGGCCGGAACAGTTATTGGGACAAGAGTTTATCCTGAATATAAAGATCAATAGCATTTTATTAAATCTTGAGTGTGATAGAGAGAGTGTGAAAAAGAAATATTCACCATATCATTAATCATTACTTTAGATTAGATTAATTAAGTTAAAATTGTTTAAAAAAAAAGTTAAAATAGACTAAAAGAGCTCTAGATTCTCTTTCCAGCTCAGGTTTACCTCAATAAACTGTTATTTCCATTACATCTGTTTCCCAAATTCTTCACATAACATACTTACGAGTAGAATATGTTGAATCCTGTCAGATTATAGGCAGCGTCGCTGAAAAAGTGTAGCAGTGCATAGCCTGAAGTCGTCTCAACCTCAGGAACCGTCTCATTACCACGGATCTCTGGTACTATCAGGCCGCTGAAACATTCACAAAATGCATTCAATGTTTTTTAAATATTGCTGCATTGCAGCAGAAAATCCTTTACTCTGTGTTAAATCATTGAGACGAGAGCAGAGTTTTGCAACCTGCAGCCATAAGTGTCTGTTCATGTTTTCCACAATTGCTCTTATTAATTATAGCTAAACCTGTTAAAAAAACGCTAATGTTACATGTGGATATAAATAACTTGTAGGTTTTAATTGTTTGGGGAATTTCCACAACAGAATTACACTTAAAGTACCAGAAATACTTTCATTTAGATCTACTTTTTTGCTTTTTTTTCTTGTGTCATTTTACACAAATATCAATGTCACTTATAAAAAAAAAGTATTCATCCTCTATTTGCAATTGTTTTATGTTGTTTTTCTTATCTATTCAAACCTTCATACATTTGCAAAATCGTGTTTTTTTATTCATGATGAAACATTTTGAAACAAAACATTTAGGAAAAATTCTTAATCACTTTTCCTCAAAGATAATTTCTAATTTTTGGCTTTAAATTAGTTTTATTTATCCTCACTGATAGTAAAAATGGCTCTTTCGGTTGTTAAGGTTGCAAACCCCCACTATAGAGGAATAACAAGAAAAACTTAATACAGCTTTATCTTCACACAAGGGTGAAAAAAAACCCTGCTGATGTCTTTCTTTTTTTTTTACTGATTCCAAAACACAGCTGTATGTATATCAACTGGTAAATTAAGAGATTTCTCACCTGAAAACAGCAACCAGAGAAGCATAGACAGAGTCTCCGTCATAGACATACATGTGGTCCCAGCTGCATTCTGTTGCAAAGTGGTTGAACCTTAACCGCAGAACAGCGTTAGGACTGGAAGGAGAAAAGCATTAGAGTTCCTGTCAGATGTGTTGTTGGAATAACATTAAAAACTGAATTTAGGTGGGAACATAAAACAAATCCAAACATTAATCTTCTTTTTTTTTTATCTTAAAGAATTTTGTTATTTGATGAAACAGAAATCAGCAATTAAAGTTGATTTCAGTTAAAATGTTTAAACATCATGTTTACAAAATGTAAACACAATGTATAAACAAAATGAGTAACAAGTTTATTCAATTAAAAATAATTCACAGATGGCACATAACCCCTCAACAACTTCATAAATGGAACCTGATTCCCAAAGACACCTGCTGGAGATGCAACAAGGAGGAAGCATCTATTCTACATATTCCTTGGACCTGCCCTGCTCTTCAAGATTGGTGGAAGAGTATTATGGAAGTAATTTTTGAAGTACTGGAAAGAAGGTTTAATATCACTGCCAAGCTTGCAGTTTTAGGCTCCACAGCAGAACTCTCGGACTCATATTTCTCACTTTTTGACAAGAGGTGGCTGGTTCTGGCTCTGACCACAGCAAAAAGGATCCTGTTAAGATACTGGATGAAAAAGAACCGTCCTCCTTGTTATGAATGGCTGACGCCTATGGTTAAACTGGCTTCTTATGAGAAAGTGACATACAGTCTTCTAGGTAAAATGCATCAGTATGATAGTACGTGGTCTGCCTTTCTCAAATGGCTAACGGTAAAGTAAACTTGGAAAGGTCAGTGTGGCATATCAACATATCTGTTGTATATTTTACAAAATGAAATCAATAAAATTTGCATGAGAAAAATTTTTTTAAACATTTTGAGGCAACATATACATTTTTTTTTTTTTATCCTACCAACTTTGAAGACTGAAAGAGTATTTCAAAAGACACATTTAGCCATTAAAGTTCAATCTAAACCAAACATCATTGTCTTTTTCAGTGAAGTATTAAAAAAGCAAGCATGAAATAATGTTTTAGCCTAATTATGCTCAATAGAAGTCCACAGAAACATCCTTAATCATCTTCTAACCCAACAAGACCTGGAAATAACAAGCTAGCTTTGGCAAACTGTATTTCAAAAAAAAAAAAAAAAAAAGAAAAGTTTCCAACTGGTAGTTAGAGCTGGTATGAAAATTAAAGGCCTTAAAAGGTAAAGAGGTTCTTAAAACCAAACTACATTTATTTAACAAAGCTTATGAAAGAGTAGCAGTAACGTGAGGCTTGATATGTGATCTTACAGCCGCTTACAGGTTCTATTAAATTATCCTGTTTAAGTTTCAAGCTTTGGTTTGCTTAAAAAAGATGCAGAACTTATGCTTCGCATCTCCATATTTCTATTCAACTTTGTTCAGCACAAAAAGAGAGCTGTCTTCTTTGGAAAGCTGTATATTAACATTGATTTATGTCAGTTTTAAATGAAAAAGATGCCGTTTAACCTTCTGAACCCCTGAAACAACATACAGGTCAATTTTTCCCATGATTTAAATTTAATTAATAATTTGACTTTATGGCTTAGAGTTAGTAGATTTGTCAGGTTTGTACCAAACTTAGAGGAGCTTTATCCACCAATTTAGCCAAACAAGAATTTATGTGACACCAACTTCACTTCCTAATTGATGAAAAAGATGTGTGAACACATCTCCGACAAATACAGGATCATTTACACCGATATAAAGGATAAAGAGCAGATTATACTTCTGCAACAGGCACACATAAAATGTTGTTTGCTTCTGGTCGCGAGCCTGATTTGCTTTTATGCTTCTGCACCGTCGGTCTGGGATTTCTAGGGATGCACAGCAGTTTCCCACCAAAGTGCAAGGGGGAGCCTATTCGAGAACTCGAGTGGAACATCGGAGGATGGTCATGAGAACTTCTTCGGCGTCACCGGTGGGAGTGTTTATTTTCCAAAACAACAAGTCTGAGGCATCATACTAGTGGTTGTACTTCCGAACCTCCTCGATCAACGATCGCCGTGGTTATCCATTGTTGTTATTACTCCTCGGTTTTTAAAAATGGTGCGCCCCGGCACAAGAGGAAAATGAATTGTGAGATCTACTAATTAACTCTAAATTACTTTTAAAACACTTAACCATCATGAGATATAAACTAACATGATGTTTAAGAACAACAATAGATATTGGTAAAAATGGGCATATCGTCCTAAACCAAAAACTAACTATGAATTTATAACAGTCGAAGCAGATATTAAATAAATCTTACATTTTGCTGCAATTTTTCAGCTATAGTGCAACAAATGAATAAAGTACTTACTAGGCCTCAATTAGCCAGGTGCACTTGGTTTTGAACTTGTAGTTGAAGGGTCCATCGGTGAGGTATCCTGAGGGTTCGGTCAATCTAGAAAATGCAAAACAAAACAACACCATTAACTAAAATGGTTTCACCAGTGTGGGAAACAATGTAAACACTTCCTTCACAAGTGAGAGGATGTGGTTATGAACAGAGTTTGTTTCTATGGTTATGGATTTATTTTTGCTCCCCAAGGGAAGGATGACTAAACATTAAAGCACTAACTCTGTTTATGATCACCTCCCCCATCCTGTGATTAAGCATTTCTGCCTCAACTGGTGACGGCTCTTTGTTTTAGGTTTTACACACATCCAAATGTTTCATTAGTATCTGGGTTAAAATAACTTTTTTTTTTAAACAAAATATGAACATGTAGACTACCAGTCAAAAGTTTGGAAATACATTCTCATCAACTGAATAAGGAAGCGTGACCAAACTTTGGACTGATTATGTGTATCGGTTTAAAGCATAATAAACTATAATCACATCTCAATTTTTTAGATCATACCAGATTAGATACCAAATAGATTTTTTCTAAAAACTAAATAACATCACAGAACATATAACAGCAGAGAGCAAAACCAGCCCAATGAGCAAAGGACGAGGCCTGAGCAACCAAAGCTTTGTGCAATGTTTCATAATTATAGGGGGAATATAAATAGACAAACACCATCTGTATACTTCACAAGAAATTAAGAGTTGGATAAATTTACCTACAATTTTTTGGCTACTGGGATGCTTTTATCTTATTAAAAAAAATCTAATTTTAATAAATTGAATATTTTACATGTTTTGCCAGTACAAAACAAAGAAGATTGTTATATAATGTTTAGCATAGTTTCAACAGCATGTCAGATATTGAGGCTGTAAACTCACCGAACCAGAATAACTTCAAGAGCAGTGTTGTTTTCGTCAATGATGAGGATGACGAAATCGTTTCGTTGCTCCTTTTTTTATGACCAAAATGAAAACTGACGAGCAGTTTGTCTCTTCCTGCTCTCGCTACTTAATAAACTATGTGGCTGATCATCCTCTGCCAAGCGTAAAAAATCCCTTTAGTATCAATATAATTACATTAATTAATTTCTTCCAGCTCACAAGAGGTGATACTAAACATTCTTTAATTTATACCAAAAGGAATTCCCACGTTATATCCAAATAAAATATTTCATGCAAATATATCATTTCATTAAAATATTTCATTCCATAAAGGATAAAGAGCCAAGTGTAAAAGTACATAGATCTTTAAATATTTCTCTCTCATTATTCTCATTTCTATCTATTAAAATATGATGTTAAATTTTCCTTGTATTGTCATTAAAATAGTCTTTGTTTCATTTATATATGTTAACATTTTAGTTAGCATATTCATTCAATTTAGGTCTGGATTGTCATGGCATTACAAGGCAATTATAAAGGTTCTCTTTGTAATTTTTTATATAAAAACCATGTGAATTTAAATCTAATTTAACATCTGAGCAGTGGTAACAATTGGGGGAAATCCTCAGACATAAAGCCAAAATTGCCAAAGTAGAAAGAAGAATGTTTTTGTTCTTTGCTTTTAGGAGCAATGAAGATTTGATTGATCTGTGTGTAATGCATAATTCATAGTAAATCAGGAAGTATTTTGCTTTAGGAGGGAACCCTTATATGTCTAAAACCATTCCTTTATTGTACATTTTGTTAGACTGTCTCTCTGCTTTGTTAACCAATATGATGTGTTGAACTAGATCTGCTATTTTTACTACTTTTGTGGGATATATTGTAATAAAGTTGTGCATTAATTCATAAAAAAGTTTATTTGAATTCTATAAATCAAAGTTTTCTGCCCAACAGCAATGATGAACTTCACAACAGAATTCTATACCCAGCAATTGTAGTATCTAAGCTGTCAGTCTGGTAAAGAATCTGGTTTTTTTTTTCAAAATTGTAAAGGTTCACTTTTTTTCAGCAACATAAAACTGACTAAACTAGACTAAAACCTTTTTAAGTTTTAGTCGACTAAAACTATCACATATCGTAATGACCAAAATGCAACTAAGACTAATAGTTTTCCTCCTGAAGACTAAGACTAAATCTAAGATAGCTGCCAAAAAGAACACTGTTCAAGGGGCATCAGTTCTTCCCTATAAGACAGCATATACATGACTTGGAGCTTTAAAGATAAAATAATGTAACTGCTTTCCATACAGGAACAAAGCATGTTCTAAAAAACATCAGTCTTTCAATTTACACCTGCTGCATCCCTGGGAGTTACGACTGTTCTGCAGCTTGAATGCTGCACATGCCAAGGGTTGAAGTATTATCACTGAAAAAGAGTTTGTTTTTTGCCGAGGCTCTTTCCACAGCATGTCTGATGAAAACAACAAACACATTAAGACATTTGGGGCAATGCTATTTACAGAAATCGAGTTACATCTGTTCCGCTGAGAGCGGCTCCGATTTATTAAAAACCCTTTCCAAGTTCCTGTCAAGCTGTCGTTTATGAATTCTGCCCCTCGCATCCCAAGATTTTATTATATAAACCCAATTTAGTTTGACGTTTATCTGCACCAAAGCATCAAATGACATGTTTTCTTTCCTTTTGATAATTCAACCAATAAAAGACTAGTTAAAACAGAACAGACGTTTATGGAGAACTGAGTTGATTAGAGATGCCAGTGGGGGATCTCTTTTGTCCCAAACTGATCTATTTGTTTGAGAATTTCATTGAGAATATAGTCTGAAATAGTGAAGGACTGAGTCAATAAGACACTGCATAGAAAGGTTTTATTTTAAGAGTACCCATTAGTACTTTTTAATTTCCAATATACCAATGTTACAGTTGGAAAAAAATTATATTTTCCTGATAAATCAGCATGAATCATACATGCTTTTATCACTGACTTTATAGGGTGAAATGTTAGAAAGGGTTTAGTCTAGGGATTTTACTCAAAAAGAGAACAATAGAGAAAAACAACTGAACAATGTGTTATTGATGGAAGCTTTTCTATATGATTGCTTGTGTTGGAGTATTTTGATGAGGGGAAATAATCTGATATTTGTTTTTTGCCTAATATCAGGCTGTTTTCTGATATCAAAATTGGATCGGGACATGCCTTGTTATTTATATAGAATATATATTTGAATTTAAACATGACTAATTGATTTGGATAGGAATAGATGCTATAGAATCTATACCATCTATTCCTATACAAATCAATTAGTCACCCCAGTGGACTAAGTTTGATATTTGATTTTATACTTTTGCTGTTCTTTTGTAATAATTTGTAGAACAGTTTAGCATATTAATCATATGGAGCGTTTCAAGCATTATATTAATATCTAAAAGAGAATAAGAAATTCAACAAAAAAATAAAAACATGCTTACTATGTATGAAGTTTACGTGAACACAGACCGAACCTGTTCATAGGTCAGCATTGGTAGTGCTTCCTGTGACTTAGTAGCCATGAAGTAGCTGTAAGCTTTAAAAAGGTGGGTGATGCCTGCTCTAGATCAAAGTTCCTTAATTCTGGTGCTTGAAGTCCAGTGTCCTAAACCTTCTAGATGCGTCTCAGCTTCCACACACCTTAATCAAATGGCTGAATTACCTCCTCAGTGTGCAGAGTTCTCCAGAGTCATCGACCTGATTATTTGACTCTGATGTGTCGAAGCAGAGACACATCTAAAAGGAGCCCTGCTCTAGATGCTTCTCTAAACTCCATTGGTCTCTACCTACAGACTAAATAACAGAAGAACATATAAGAATACAATATTAAAAAAAAAAAAAACACTTATCATACACCAGTCCCCCTGAACAGATGCTAAAGCAACAAACTGTGCAAACATACGCACATATAAGAGTTAAAATGACCATAAGCTAGCAGCCGCATGGGGAGAATCTGGACTTAACATTTCTATGTATAGTTGGTGCCAAAATACTTTTTATTGCAGCTGTTTTCAATATCAAGCTTCATGCATTTTCATGGGTTGTTGTAATGATCAGACTTGCAACATGCAGCCTGAAACAATACAGTTAAACTGCATGCTCTGAAGTTAGGTATGGATTTACTGGCTTTTTTTCGAGACTTTTGCAGAAAAATGATCCAGACTTAGCAGTATTTATTAAGAATAATAATAAAACAAAAAGGTAAATCCTTTTTTTTCTGGCAGTAATTGCCAAGAGTTAGCAAATTATATTTATGGTACAAGGACAACATGTATTTTTGTCCAGTCATTTCCTTTGTCATTAGGTCAAAAACAACTGTTACTTAATTTTACTGAATTGTGCAACCAGTTACACATTCTCATTTATAGCCCTGGTCTGTTTATATGTTCTAAAAAGTAAAAACAGATAAACATTTGATGTTATGCCTAGAAAAACTACTTTTTATTTTATTGTAGACATTCAGATAACGGTCATGTAGGTCTCTCCTCCAGGATCACCTAGTACATGCGCCACCCATGCTCTTATAAACTCTGACCAGCTTCTCTTTCTACACTGAGGAAAGTAACTGTTTCCCATTACACATTCTGTTATGTTAAAATACCACAAAGCTACATGTGAACTAAGAAGAGTGTCCAACTATTTTTTTTAAATGGGAAATTGTGAACAACCTTCTCCCAATAATAGAATTTCCCCTTAAGGTCCAATTTGGTGGCTACCATCCGCAGTTAAGATTCCCCTACCTTATAGGTATAGGTGAGGATTTTCCCAAATTTTATAAAAGACCTTCCCTCTCTACTTTAAAAAAATTCACATGCACAACCCTGTACCCGCTCACAAGAAGGAATCCCTATGTGTGTGAGAGCGTGCACAAGCCCATTTCTCCTCGTGCACGCTCTGTTTAAAGGTTGCATTTACATTTTCTATCAAATCTACAAAGCCATTATAAAAGCATATTTATATAAGAGTTGCACCAAATACTGAAGATATGTACTTGAGACACAAATGCTTCAATGACAACCCAGTCTCATGGGAAAATGTACCCCCACTACGTTGGCCCACACTGCAAAACGTAGTGGAGGTACATTAATGGCCATTTTTTTGTGGTACTGTTACGTTTCTTCTGCCTATACGCTTTCTATTGTTTTACGTCCTAGTCACGTGACTTTCAAGATTCCAGCTGGGAGAAGAAAAAAATATATATAGATGGCCGACATTCGCTCAAAAAAAAGGTGGAATGAAGATAAAAATGAAGAAGGTTATATAAAGTACAAAAGTCAGTATTAAATAGAAATATTAATGAGAGAAACCGAAGGGAAGAAATAATAATGATCAGATTAAGAGTAGGTCATACTTATTTAAATGACAATTTATACTTAATAGGGAGGAAAAATAATGATAAATGTGAAGGATGTGGAGAGATAGAAAATATAGAACACGTATTGATGAACTTTAAAACATCTGGACCTGAAAGGAAGAAATTGAAAAGAGGACAGGCCAAGAATGGAGTCTTAAAGCATTATTGGGAAATAAAGGAAATATAAAAGATATTTATAGATTAAGGAAAGCATTATTTATTTATCTTCAGAATACAAAATTAAAAAATAGAATTTAATAGATGTAAAACAATGTTGCTACACACTCATGAACAGTAGGTGGCGGTATGCACGCCCCTTCCCCAGAACCCGGTGGGATCGAAAACATTTTGAATGGAAATCAGTGGGGAGAAATTAATAAACTTCTGGTCCCAGTCGCTCTCTGTCACTGATTCCAGATATGCTGGTTGTGTATTTAAATTGTTTTTTGTTTTTTTTAGTTCCTCTTTGGTCTAAATCTGGTCAAAACCCATCAATGAGATCGCACCAAACAGGAAGTTAATTGCACAAAGGATCCGGTAGATTTCCAAATAAAACACATCCGATCTTAATCCATGATCCTTTTTTTAAACTAGTTTAATTAGTTTCTCCCGTATGCCACGACGTAATGCATTGATCTGAAAATCAACCTCAGACGCAACGCCGCAGTGGCGAGGGTTTGATCCGTCAGATGGAGTTAAATCACAAAGGATTCAATGTTGAATCGGGGCGGCAGCTAAATGCTAGGCGATGGGTAGCAGCCAAAACGTTGCAATTTCACATAATCCTGACGAGATCCGAAAAACGTAGCAAAAACTAGCAAGCGGGTGATTATGTATGTTCACTAAGTAAATATTATGTAAATAAACCCTACACTTCTCGCTATAAATGTAGTCAAACCCATTTAAATGCAGAAACTTATTGAAATTATTGATTTTCCCACTAAAAGTTAGAGAAATCTCAGCCATGTTTATACCAAAATGTTACAGTTTCACATTATCTTGAAAAATCTTTGCAAGAAACGAACAAGCAAGTGAATATGTACATTCCCTGAGTAAATATTCTGGCAACAAACTATACATTTCTCACTAGAAATGTAATCAAAACTCATTTTAATGCAAAAACAAACTCAAGTTATTAATCTTTCCACAAAAAAATGAGCGAATGTCGGCCATCTATATATATTTTTTTCTTCTCCCAGCTGGAATCTTGAAAGTCACGTGACTAGGACGTAGAACAATAGAAAGCGTATAGGCAGAAGAAACGTAACAGTACCACAAAAAAATGGCCATTAATGTACCTCCACTACGTTTTGCAGTGTGGACCAACGTAGTGGGGGTACATTTTCCCATGAGACTGGGTTGTCAATGATGATATTCTCTCAACTTCTTTTTCCTAATTCCTGTTATTGCAGCTTTCACATCTCACAACTAAAATGTAGCTATTTTCTGCAATAAGAAAAGTTAGAGACCATCCAATAAATTATTGGCTTGCAGTGTAAAAACATGGTACTTGAAACATATCAAATCCAACGTTGCATTCAAGCACTTCTTTACAATTATAATTCTCCAAATATTGATACGAGAATGTTGATTAATTTGATATACTGCGGTTATAATCCATACTTGGATTAAACTACACACAAGAGAACAGTATTTGCTAAAAAAAAAAAGCTATTTTAAGTTCAGAAATTGCTCTGAATTTATACGGTAGGCGTTAGATGAACCTTTTTTACCCCTTTTTTGTGCATAAATTTCTAAATATACATTGTTCTGTTTCAATTGTGAGAGTATGACTAAATTATGCAATGCAGGAAATGCAAGAAGTAAGTGAAGGAAAGGATGGTGTTACAGGTCCTCAGCGAGGATGTTTACTGAAAAAAATATGAAGATCTGAGAACAGTGCTGTGTGCCGTTATTAAAACAAATGATTCTATGAATAATGTGGTACGGAAGAGGATTAGGGCCACTGAAAAAAAAAAATTAAATATATATTTTAAATATTTTTTCAGTTTAATATGGGAAAAAAATTCAGATTCCTGAATTTTTCCTCAGAATTCTGACTTTAATCTACTGAATTTTGGATCTTAATGTAGATGGGCACCATGAAGGAAGAGATGTTGGAGCAGTCAGCTTGACTGACAAAGATTGAGTTGTTTGGATGGGTCAGTAACACATTGCTGGAATATGACGGAATTAGCCGAATGAATTTTAATTCTGACTTGTTTTTCATATTACACTGAAATAAAATTTAAAACTTAAAACAACTCACATCTTTGTCAGTGAAGTTGAGTGCTCTCTTCCTTAATGGTCTCTTCCTTAATGGTGCCCATCTACATTAAGATTCAAAATTCTGAGAACAAAGTCAGAATTCTAAGAAAAAAGTCAGAATTCTGAGATTAAGGTCAGAATTCTGAGGGGGAAAAGAGTCAGAATTCTGACAGATGTTCTCATATTACACTAAAATAAAATGTAAAACTTTAAACAATAAAACAACTCCCATTTTTGACCGTGAAGCTGAGTGCTCCCACATCTCTTCCTTCATGATGCCCATCTACATTAAGATCCAAAATTCTGAGATTAAAGTCAGAATTCTGAGCAAAAAGTCAGAATTCTGAGCAAAAAGTCAGAATTCTGAGCAAAAAGTCAGAATTCTGAGCAAAAAGTCAGAATTCTGAGCAAAAAGTCACATTTTTTTTCTCATATTACTCTGATATTAAATTTTAAAATTTGTCAATTTTTCTTTTTCCTCAGTGGCCCTAATCCTCTTCCATAACGTGGGGACTCATCTAAAAGCAACAAATGCCTAATTTGCAGTGAGAACTTATTAGTGTTCCTAGAGGTTTTGCTTTCTGCCAATCATCCCCATTGATTTAGCTTTTCCAAATGAAACTTCCAGCCTCTGGATGCTGCTGGCCCACATCTCTAAGCAGCAGCGGCGGCAGCAGCAGGCAGGGTTTCCAGGCCACTTACTTGAACCTCCCCTGGCAGTGCTGACACTGATCTCCGACCCATCCTCGCTCGCAGACGCAGGAGCCGTTGATGCATTTCCCAGAGTTGCAGCTCTTGTCACAGGATCTCGCTGGGGACGCGTGCGTTAAGAGCACGAAGGAAAACAAAACATACACCACCAGATATCTGTTGATCCCCCTCTGATCGCCCCTTAAATATAGCTTGGGACCGAATAGAAAAGTGTTCCTTTTTCCTCCAGGCTCCATGATTCTTCTGCTTTACTCCCCTCCAGGTCGACCAAGCGGGGCCTTCTCTGGGAGAAAGCCTCGACTTCTCAGGACGCTTCAACTATGACACAGTCGCCCTGCATATTTGTTTGGAGCGGTGGGCATACAAGAGGACTGGGTAAGAAAATATCTAAAATAGGAGTTAAAGCTGCTTGTATACATCTGAATCGGGAGGAATTCCGTTCACCAGATTTGTTGAAAGAAGCAATACAAACAAAAATGCATAAAATAATCTCATAGGCCAAAAAAAGAAAAAAGTTTGTTAGCCCGGGATAATTTAGAGGATTCGTTACTTATTTTACTGTGCTGATTTATGGCCATTCTCCCCCAAATACCATCTCAGCAGCCATTTTAATGCGTTAACAGTCCTTAAAACTAACACTGGCTCGTTCCACAAGAAGCTGCTGCATTTTAACCGGATGTTTTCCCCCAAACAGTCACAAAGTAAAAACAAAAAAGTGAAAAGAGGTTTGCGTTAGCCCGAGAGCTCGGTTGCCGCAGTGGATGCGGTGTGATGTGGGAACCGGATGGCTATTCTTACCTTGCTGCTGGGGGGATGTATTTTCGGCGAACACTTCAGCTATTCTTTATGGACAATATCGGTTTTTACTGAAACCACAGGCTTCCTAAAACGCAGATTTCCGTCGCAATACCGTTTAATGTTATCTCCTTTGTACTGCTGTTGAGGAAAAGATGTGTTGTTTTCCCTCGAAGAATGACAACAACAGAGAGCGATGAGAAGCTAGCGCAGCGAGGAGCTCCTCAGGTTGGCTAAACCTAAACACAGACTGCGCATGCGCAGTGGAACAGAGCTCCACTTAAAGGTACAGCGCACAGAAAATGGACTAAGTTGATTGATGGGATGAAGGACTTCAAAACCTATGGAAGCCTATCTTCCTAAACCAATATTATAATTTAATTAATTATCTGCTCATTATTAACTGGTTATTTATACCATCTTAGAATTTTTCAGGTATTATGAAAAAAAAAAAATCATGTTTATGTTACACATATGTTTTTTTTTAAATGTATTTATTACTCTTTTCAAGGCTGCACTTTAAAAAATGAAATTGTCTAGATTTGTTTAAAACAATTTTTTTTTTGTTTACACTCGTGTATACAAAATGAAAAAAATAAATCCTCCTAAGTCTAAGTCTTATTGGATTATTTAATCGAGCTGCATGCTGCGCACCCTATCCCGCCTCAGGGGGACTTTCATGGGAATAAATATATTTTTCCTAAATTTTAATGGAAGGGTTATACAATATGCAGATGGAATAAGATGATTTACATTTAAAATAAGAAAAAAACACGTAATATAACACATAATATGGATAATATAAAGTTATCTTATCTTAATGGCAACAGTACGCATTGCTTTGGCAGATCACATTATCAAAGGACAAACGTACAACGTACTTACTTCAAGATAGATAGATAGATAGATAGATAGATAGATAGATAGATAGATAGATAGATAGATAGATAGATAGATAGATAGATAGATAGATAGATAGATAGATAGATAGATAGATAGATAGATAGATAGATAGATAGATAGATAGATAGATAGATAGATAGATAGGATTAGTGGGCTGCAACCTTTGTTTTGTTGATCATCAAATGTTAGAAATTATGCACACTTTTTCGGCACGCCTCTTTGCGTTTGTGTTTGTTATTCAAAGTAATGCAACTGCTTTTGGCATTTGGCATCATATTTAGTTACTTTAACACAATTATTTTATGTCCTTCCCTGCTAACATGAAACAATTGTGTTAAAGTAACTAAATATGATTAAATAAATGCCAAAAACGGTTGCATTATTTTTTTTCATTGTATGAAAAAACACCGTTAAGACATAATCTAGCCATAATATCTGGAAAATAACAATTTAATCCCTCATCATTTTGTGAAATATGCCTCAGGTTTAGGATAATATTAAACTTAGGAGCTGTTTTTCCATCTGTTGGGATGCTGCGATAAACCTAAATCAGGGGTTCTTCTCAAAGCTTGCTTGTGTTGATTACATTCATTATTGATCTTTATAATGATTACATATTTGATGAGCTATTATCTGCAGTAATTAGATCCCTCTCTTCTCTAACACAACTAAAAAAAAAATTTGCTGATAGTTTTAGCCCCCTTAAACAGCACGGCACAGGGTGCTACACAAAAAAAAAAAAAAAAACTAACCAAAGAGAGGATGTCCAAAGAAATGAGTATTTTAAATTTAAACGCAAGTCTACAGGAATCTAATAAAAGAAAAACAGAAAAATCTTTAGGCTTCAGGGCATCCCAGGCCAAAAACAAACAAAACACCAATTCTTACTAAAAAATTAACTCAACTCTCTACATGGAAACGAAAGAGATTCAAATTCTGAGCTTCCATCTTAGCTATAACAGAGAACATAACTAACAAAGATGGCAGAGAATCACTAACAGCTTTCTCTGTAAACAAACACTTGTTTTACTTTAGGTCAAGGCCATGGCTAAAGGGGGACTCATCTCAGCTTTAGATCTGAAACAGAGTTGTCTCATGAAGACAAAATGTAACTTAAAGAAATTCAGCCATTAGATTCCATTGTCCTGGGAACCAATGACGGATATACATGTTTGTTGGTTTGAATGGTTTAATTTCACCTGTTGTAACTTAGATTGGGGTTTGGTTCACCCAGAACACTTTTTTAAAATACTTTTTTTCTCTAAAATAATGTAAAAATGCTTCCTGATTAGCAGTGTCTCTGTTCCACCTGCAGGTGGCAATCTTGCACAGTGACGCTAAGAGCACCATGTTTCCTCAGAAGGTACAGACACATTTAAAGTAGGATTTCCAATTCTTTGAAAAATAGATTAGGGACAATACTTGAGTGGCCTTTCTTTTCCAACCGACCAACATTTGAAACCTTTTTTTGAATTTTCTTTTGTATTTGAAATTATTTTTTACACACTTGATATTAACCAGGATTTATTTTGACACATACTTTTGCCCAAAATATGTGGGACTGTCCCTTTTTAAAGTGATAATTGGTAACAGTAATTTAAAGGAAAAACAAGAAAACATACAATTTTTTTATTGAACATTTGAATCAAGGAAACATGCTTCTTTGACAAAAAAGAAGCCTAATCTTTAAAAGTATTTTACTTCCACTACAGCAGATTGATTGGAGGTTTCATTCCGATCAAACATTTGAGTTGTTCATTTATATATAGTTTTTACCACAACAGATATTAAATGCTTCTTATTTCTTCCATTAAGAATTGAATGTGTCAGATAAGCTATTTTCTCACTCCACTCAACACTTTGAAATCTAAAGAGTCACTATTTGTTTTTCCACAGAGGCTGCTGTTAACCCGATCACACCTAAACTAAAAGACATGTTTTCATTCTGTGGCTTAACACTCCCTATCTTAAGCCACTGGAGAGCCTGCCGGCATTTACTCAGGTGCATGCATCACTGTTTTTCAGAAAAAGTGCTCTATTTCATGTTTTCTAAAACCGGTAACATCTTCATTCATGGTCTGAATGTTATTAAGGAAATAAGGTGTTGCAGAGTCAGTGGGCTCTTCTTTTTTTGGCAAGGCTCTGTTCAGGGGAATAAATTGTGCATTGTGTGCCCCTCCATATGTGTAGAAATATGGGGGAGAGCCTAGAATAAAACAGGGTGTTATTTAGGAGTTGACCTTTTCAACCTCTGATTCACAGCTGAGGAATGTCCTTTGTCCAAGTTCAAAGTCTGTAACTTTGACAGCATCGTACACCTCAACTGTGTGTACCGTTCAGATCAAGAAATCCTTTTTTTCTCACCCCCTGGCAGTTCCTTTACGGAAATTCCATTAAATAGCCAAATATGAGAGCACACGATTTGAAAGTTTCTACCCAGACAGAGATCTCCATGGGTCTGCACAAAAGGAATTCCCCTGCTGGATTAACAAGACCATTCACCAGCAGTGGGCTCAAAGGAAAAGAGGGAACAGAGGCAAGAAAGGCCAGACCACCTTAGTGTTCACTTTGTGCAGAGCCATCATGCTGTCTGACTCATCATTGCCTTTCACTCAAGCCTTTACCACTAGAAGTACAAAAAAACTGACATCATCTGGTGACTAATTTGAAGGTTATAGGGTATCATTCAAGGCTAAAATTTCATGAATTAAAACAAAGTTAAAAGAAAATGGGAATTTTCAAGTTGTATATAAACATCCAGATTGGGACGCATGGATTTGAACTTTGAACAGAAGAGTTTTGTGAAATATTCAGGTCAAAAGATAATATCAAATCAATCTACCTGACTTATATTTCCAGAATAGAAAGAAATGTCTTCGCAGGGTGGTTGGGCACACCCTTCGAGATCGGGTGAGGACCTCGGAGTAGAGTTGTTGCTCTTCCATGTCGAAAGGAGCCAGTTGATGTGGCTCGGGCATCTGTTTCGGATGCCTCCTGGTCGGCTCCCTCTAGAGGTGTTCCAGGCATGTCCCATTGGAAAGAGGCCTCGTGGAAGGCCCAAGACACGCTGGAGGGATTAGGTCTATGAACTGGTCTGGTGTCACCTTGGGATCCCCCCAGAGCAGCTGGAGGAAGTGTGTGTCGATCGGGAAGTCTGGGCATCTTTGCTTAGACTGTTGCCTCCGCGAGCCGGCCCTGGATAAACAGAAGTGGATGGATGGATGGATGGATGGATGGATGGATGGATGGATGGATGGATGGATGGATGGATGGATGGATGGATGGATGGATGGATGGATGGATGGATGGATGGATGGATGGATGGATGGATGGATGGATGGATGGATTTTTTTGTTTTCCCTCAAAAGAATACGCCAGTATTAAACATTTATTTTAAAACATCAAACTGAACAAGGAGGCATCCAGCGATTGAAGCTAGTAATCAAGACCACACCAACCAAGACCAAGGACTACCGACACAGAGACAAGACCAAGACCTTGTATTTGGTCTTGGTCAGAGACAGAAGGCAGAGATTCGCTCTTGCAGATTTAATGAGGAGGTAAGTGGCAAGAGAAGCATAAATCAGGGAATAAAAGGCAGGGAACCAAGGAACAAAAACAAGGGGAGACTCAGGAGAAACATACTGGAAGAACAAAGATAATCTAGCCTCAAGTAACTGCAGGGGAGCAGTATATATAGCAGACAGCGCAATGAATGGAGTAATCAGCTAAATGGGAGCAGGTGTGGACAGAAGCAGCTGGAAGGGAGCTAAGGGGGAAAAGGGAGGAGCACTAGGGGGCAACAAAAAGTAACTACGGAATACAACAGGGCTTAACTTTAACTAGAAACTAACTTAAATGAAGCGAAAACTGGAATAAACTAATGACTAGAATAATAAAGAATGATGAAGGAGGAAACTAGTGGATAGGGGAAGGGACTATGACGCCATATGAAAAAGTACGGAGCAGATAAATAAATATCAACAATGCTGAAAAGCGACAACTGAAACAAACACCAACGAGTGAAACTAAGAAGTAATGGAAAAATAGGTATAGATATTAACAGCAAACACAGAAATAAGCCAAACCCAAAGTGGAAACTAGAACACAAAAAAAAACCCAGAGCAATAGATCATGAAAAAATCTTATGCTAAAACAAATAAATTTTTTCATGATACCATATTATCAATAATGTGTATCAATATCAACAAGACTTTTTTTTAAGCAGTATGTGATGCACAGTTGTGAATGGATTTGGATCTGTGGGAATGTTCCTGAATGTTGGTGATATACCTTTGTGAACACTTCTTAATAACATCATGTCTTCTTTCCTAATGGGTCTCTTTTTTTTGTCAAACCCCTTCCATGTTACTCAAATGTCAACATTGTTAGTTTAAAGGTGTATTCATAGTTAAGGAAAGCACTGTAGAAAAGGCTGCAGACAACATTTGCTTTTGTGGATTGCAGAGGTTCATGCCTAATGAATACTGAAAGTCTATGACTGTGAAATCTGACAGATTTCCTTGGATAGAAAACCTTTAACCATTCTGTCTTTATGATTTTTGATATGATACTTTTGATTTGATCAAATTGACGGTTGATGGCATGTGTTGGTAATTTGAATTAGTTTATTTGAGTCTCTTTGAGGATGAAAAAGTTCAATCTAGACACATATTTCTGTTTCTGACCTCTTACACTGTTTGATAAATTGGTTTTAAATGCATTGATAATAAACTAATGTATTACATCTGTTTGTTTTTTTTCCCTTCATTTTGCCTTTGAGAATTTCTTGAATCATGTCTGGACCAAGTGTCTCTAAAATAATCTCACCAGATGAGTTTGTCTGTCCCCCTTAGAACTGATCCACTTTTTTTCATTGAGTCATTTCCAGGGATTGTACTACTTTATACCATTAGATCTACCTGTGTGTTCCCTTTCGTCACGGTGTGACTTCATCATTTGAAACGTAACCCTAAATAACACATGATTATCCTTGTCTGAGCTGCTAAAATTAAAAAGGTAACCACATGCTGTGCACCGGCATGCATATGGCCTGTCGCTCCTCAAATACAAGTTACACTGATGGATGTAAAAAAACAAAAACAAATTAAAACACTGGGATCTATCTCATGCGTTTTAATCGACCACTTGAGTGTGTTGTGTTGCCTAACATTCCTTTCATACTTCTACCCGGTCATGGTTCTCCTAAAGGGGAGCTGGACTTTTAAGACACTTGTCTTTTCTGTATTTGACAAAGAGTTTGGAGATTTTTTCAATAGAAAAATATCAGTGTTTTTGGAAACATGTCATATCCTGCCACCATGCAACAGATGCTCTACGTATGTATTCTTTCTAAAATAGTTTATTCTAACTTTTTCTGGAAGAAAAGGGAAAGTTGAGTTTTGAGAAAGAGAAAACCTCAAGTCAGTTTAAATTTTGAGTTTTACAGTTTCCATAAATACAGAACAAAAATTGCTTAGATATAATCAAATTTACCAACTGTAGAATATGTTGTGTTCCATCTAAAGAGTTTTTTTCTCCATTGGCTGCTTTCAAGGTTGCTAGAAGTCAGATTTTACAGATTTATTTGCTTTCATTTTGCTGTGACTCATAAATGTTTCAGATCATTAATACGTTTTTGTTTTTTTTAAATCAATGGATAACTTTTTTAATCTATATATTTACTTTTCTATGTCACATTAAGGCCTGATTATTTTGATATATAAAAGCAACTTAAACACTTAAACAGAACACGTCCAACAACATGAAGTAGACAAAAAAAAGTAGGTTTTGTTTACTTTCCCATTTTGACAAAACTGTTTATTTAGATTTTTCATGTCATAGAACCACAGCGATTCTTTTTTAGCCAACTGTAAATATGAGAATTGTTGATACTGTCTAGTAGTGACATTCCAACAAAAATTACTTCAAGTGTGTTTCAATGATTAATACTAAGAACTAATAAAAACTCAGAAAATCTAAAGCTCTTCAGACCTCACATCCCTAACTTTGGGTCAGTGACTGTTTAATATTCCAGAATAAGAAAGACTGTGAAAAAGGAATCCAACAATTGAGTATTACTATAATTATTATCTGCTATAATTGTTTTTGTGGTTGTCCAGCTTTCTTTGTTTATATCATGTAAAATGTATGTTGTATGACAAAAAAGGAAAGAGTGTGTCATCCATGGCCAGAGACCAGTGACCTGACTGAAAAGGACACCAAGGCCTGTCTCATGACTACCAAAAGGCATTTAAACTTGGAGAGACTCACTCAAAGAAAGGTTGCCATTAGAAAGGCTTTATTGACATGAATGAAATAAGTTATTCTGAGCTTGGACCCTGGCAGAAGACTTTGATGTAGTGAATAGATATGTGCTCTGAATAGTTTAGGAAAAGGAGTAGTCTTCCTCCCAGAAGGGGAACTGGGCTCTGGTGATGGAATAGGCTTGAGGACGAAGGGGAGTAAGAGTAGCCTGAGATGAGGGAAGAGATGGACAGAGATGAGTAAAAGTTAAGCTGGTGTTCAGAAAGAAAGCTGGACAAGGTGCTTCATGAGGGTAATCATGAATGACGATTGGCTTCAGAGGAATTGCGTTTCAGACATCGATTGGCTGGCTCTTAAACGTGGCACAGCAGCAGGTGACCCAGCTGCGGCTCGAAAGAGTCTTCAAGACTGAATTTTTAATTAAGCTTCATTTGATGCATAATTTATTTGCTGAAGCTTAAAAAACTATGCACACACACACTAACACAATTACTCATGCATATACAGCCCTCTTACAAAAAAAATATATTGCTATGTTTGTTATTGTTATATATTCAGGTACATGTCGAACCTCTAGTGATAGGGTGTGGTCATCTAGGGGTGAAGAGGTAGGTCTAGAACCTCTAGTGATAAGGTGAGGTCATCTAAGGGGTTAAGACGTAGATGTAGTACCTCTAGTGATAGGGTGAGGTCATCTAAGGGGTGAAGAGGAAGATGTAGAACCTCTTGTGATAGGGTGACGTCAACTATGATGTGAAAAGGTAGGTCTAGAACCTCTAGTGATAGGGTGAGGTCATCAATGGTGTGAAGAGGTAGATGTAGAACCTCTAGTGATAGGGTGAGGTCATCAATGATGTGAAGAGGTACATGTAGAACCTCTAGTGATAGGGTGAGGTCATCTTTGATGTAAGCAGGTACATGTAGAACCTCTAGTGATAGGATGTGATCACCTTTGGTATAAAAAGGTAGATATAAACCCATTAGTCTATGTTTGGTTTAGTGATAGAGGTGGTTGGTTTTGCTATCAAAAGGTAAAGTCTAGTTCCGTAAACTTTTATGAAATGACTATGACCTGAACGAATATATATATATATATATATATATATATATATATATATATATATATATATATATATATATATATATATATATATATATATATATATATATATATATATATATATATATATATATATATATATATATATATATATATATATATATATATATATATAGTAGCATTTCATCAGTACCAAGTTGACCTTGATCGTGTTGATCGACAAACAGCAGAAGAAGGCAGTAGTGATAGATGTGGCAATCCCAAGCGACAGCAACATCAAGAGGAAAGAACACGAGAAGCTTGAGAAATACCAAGGACTGAAGGAGGAGCTAGAAAAGATGTGGAAAGTAAGAGCAGCAGTGGTGCCAGTGGTAATTGGAGCACTAGGGGCTGTGACCCCCAAACTGGGAGAGTGGCTACAGCAGATTCCAGGTAAAACATCAGAGGTCTCTGTCCAGAAGAGCGCAGTCCTAGGAACAGCTAAGATACTGCGCAGAACCCTCAAACTCCCAGGCCTCTGGTAGAGGACCCGAGCTTGAGGATGACACATACCACCCCACGAGGGGTGAGAAAACAGTTTTATATATATATATAGCTATATACATATATCAACTTTCTGAGATGCTTTATCCCAAGCAGTGTCATTAGGGGTGCTGGTGCCTATCTCCAGCCGCCTACGGGCGAGATGCAGATTAATATTTATCAGTAATATCCATCCATCCATTTTCTGACACCCTGCGGGGTCACGAGGGGTGTTGGTGTGAGGGGTGCTGTCGAGAGGCGGGGTACACCCTGGACAGGTTGCCAGTCCATCGCAGGGCAACAAAGAGACAAACAACAAGAAGAGAAGCCAATTAACCAGCAGTCATGTTTGTGGACTGTGGGAGGAAGCAGGAGTGCCCGGAGAGAACACGCGCATGCTCAGGGAGAACATGCAAACTCCATGCAGAAAGACCCGCAACCTGTCAAAAACCTGAATGACTCCGCTGACACTCTACTACAGAGAGAAGCACATGAGTTTCTCTCTACTTAGACGGTGCAGTTTGGGTTGAGGAAGGGGAGGGGGCGGGGGAGGAGGGAGAGGAGGAGGAGGAAGAAAATGATTATGAAGAAGTTAGTGGGAAGCGCTCAGCAATTACAGTCAGTGTGAGCTGCTCAGTCAGTGAGCGCTGTGACCGAGCAGAGGCTCCCATCTTCACCCAGAAACCTTTCGGATTGTTTTCGTTTTCGTTGCATGTCAGGAGCGAAACGGGAGGAAACTTTCTGAATGGAGAAGCACAAAGGTAGGCGGAGGGCTTGGAGCTTTAAGTTTGTATGTGTGATGAGCTTTAGAGTTGAGGACAGCATTTTCTCATGAACTGTGAAGGGGCTGCACTGGACTGTGTGCGGGGCTCCGGTGGTGGGAATAACAAAAACAACATGGGGTTTATTATTTTAAGTGCATTTGAGTTAAAACAAACCAAACGAATTTTACAAAATGTCAAATCTGCACGTGAGAACATTTGCAGGTGTTTATATATATATATATATATATATATATATATATATATATATATATATATATATATATATATATATATATATATATATATATATATATATATATATATTTGTATAACTTTTTCAGAACATCTGGATACTTGTTTCTGTTTCATTAAATTAGTCCAGGTTATTTTTGAATTTAGAGATGGAAATATAATTTGCCATTTTTAGCAGAAGGAAAATAAATTACCCTAACTGATTACAACTTAATGATTTTTGATAGTATGCCAGTAACTTAGATTTCCCACTGACTCACAAATTTTCTTTAGTTTTGAAAATATCTAAAAATATTTATTAATAAGGGTTTTTATAGAATACTGCTGTTTTTGTCCAGCTAGTAGGAGTAGGAGTCCCTTTATAACAAGCCTAGAAATCCCACAAAACTACACTCTTTGATGCATAAGTCTATAGCTAGACCTATTCAGACTTAGTGTCATCCTCCTAAACTCGTACATTCACTACTGACTTTAATTTGCACCAATCAAATTGAAGAAGCATTTGAGTTAGAGTAATTAATCTGTTTAGCTCTCATTAATTGGCTGATTGAAGCCTTAATAGCTGCTATAATAACAACAAAATCCTATAGGCAAGATGCTTTGGTTGACTCTGCTTCAATAGCAAAACCCCACTTACTATTATCTGAATATACTAGATTACTAGTGGCACCAATTGTTCTTGAAATAGTTCAAAAGTATACATTGTATACATTATACTAGCTCACAAAATTAAGGGCCACTAATAAACTGGTTTGTAACAAAAATCTCACTATTTGGTATGAGAGTAGCACTTTAACCTCTAGTATGTGACAAAACATGACCTTAGTAGGCAATATCAATTAAAAGTTATTGATTTTTTATGTTTTTTATCTAGTACACCTAAACATTGACCTAGCGTGGGAAGATGTGTGACTAGTATATCATAAACAAGAGTTTGTAGGACAAAATCACAGCTAAGATTAACGATGTGTAGTGTATACACAAATTGTTTGCCATACTGCTTCACTTCATATCTTTGTTTTCCTTGGAGTACATTATGCATCTCAGATGGGTTTGCAAAATAGCTTATATTGTGGCCACTGATAAATTCCAAAAGCCCTAACGTCCATTCTCACTACATTCCTTAAATTCCTGTGGCTATTTGTTCATTAGGATAAGCAGTGGGAATCTAATACTTCCCTGTTAATGTTTGAGTTGGGTTTGCTCAAATTACATTTGTGCTTTAGTACATTAGTGTATTTATAAGTATGTCTATATATAGAAAACCAATTAATATCCTTTGCATATATTTTGTAAGTTTAAACTTGTAGGGATCCAGTGTAGATCCCCTGCTTGTTCTGGTCCACATGCACAGCAGAAGCAACTTCCTAAGGATGGGAACAATACCCACCAGTCAAACTGAGAGTGGGTCAGCAAAGTTTTTAAGAAAACAGTCTTTCTGCCACATTCCTGCTCACCAGCTGACCGCAGCTCAGCCTGTTTACTCCCACTTTCTCTCAGAATAAAATGTTCATGTTAGAAGAACCCAAGGTCAGAGATGTTCTTTGTATGTATTGCTATGAGGATTTTTAATTATCCATTTCCTTGGCGTTGGCTATTAATACATTGATCAAATTGAGTAAAACAACAGTTTTTTTTTCTTTCTTGATGAAGTACGAGTTTCTAAGAAGAATTATATTCATGAAACAAGTGTAATGTAGTGACGTAAACAACAGCAAAGAAGCACCAGCAGTTTAGCTATCTTCTATTTTCCATCCAATCTGAGAAAATGCATTGATCAGCAGAAACTGATGCAGATAATAACATGTTAAGCATGGCACACAACAGGTTTTATGCATTTAAAGGATTTTATGCATTTACACACTTACAGCTTAGCCAGATTTAGGTTAGTTCTTCACTCATACCTTACATATGATGCTCAGATGAACACTGCAAACTTTCACCACAACCTGTCTGGAACCCAACCTTGAAAATCCTAAATTAGACAAAAAATATGATCTCGATGTATCGATTAGTATAATAAAGATCAAAGATATATTTCGGGGACGTTGTCGCTCTGTTCTTTATATTTTTTCTATTTTCTGCGCTATGACCTGAAAGGGGATTGAAATGACCAACTTTTAAAGTTTTAATAATGTCATCATTAGCTTGGTGGAAAGTATTAATAAAGACAGGGCAATGATTGTGTCTGTCATCCTGAGGAGCAGAATAATTGCTGTAAGGGGGACTTTAAATCATTCTTCTTTTCTCAGCTAATACTGTCTCCTAAATACCACACGCTTTCATCATCACCTTGCATTAGAATACATATTTTAATCAAAACAGGTTCAACCAATATTGTGGTAGTTCTTGATCGGGGTCTAAATGTAGGTCACAACATAAAAAAATGAGGGTGCTTTCACATCATTCATTTCACCTTTTTTTTTTTTTTTTTTTTTAAATAGACCATACTCGGTCTTGTTAGGTCTTAATTTAGGTGTGGTGAAAACAAGCAAGCTTCGGGCAGCTTTAGAGGCAGTGTTTTGGTTTACTTGCAAGTAAACCCTGCAGCAGTTTGCAGAAAGCAAATTGACTGTCTAGTTAAACCGAAAAAGAAAACCTGTTGCTATATGTATGTGCAGAGGTGTAGCACCAAACTCTGGGGCCTGTCATTTGACCTCTATTCGTGCCAGTGCATGGGGAAATGTATTTAAAATGAAAAAGCATATTTAGGGTTTTGAGCTACAATCAGTTCAGATTGTTTTAATGAGTTTTATATATTCAAGACTAAGACTAATTGAGGGTGAGGGTAAAGACCAAGATCAAAATCCTACAACCTATGTCATAATAAAACGTAAACAGAATCAAAGTCCTTCTCAATTTAATCTGGAAGATCCACATCACCATAAATACTACAAGAAAATAGACACCCAGAGCTGAAAAAAAAATTAAATTTCCATATTTAATACTTCTTCTAGTTTTCAATTGTCTTTTGATCAATTTGAGCCAAAAACTTAAATTTTCTTTTACTAATTGCTTTACTTGCTAAATCAAAGAAAGTAAACTGTAGCTCACTTTACAAACATAAATTATGGCTAAAGGAAAAGGCAAAAATTAAACAGAAAAAGTTTGTCTTCATCACATGGCCATAAAGTAAAAATATGCAACCAAAATAACATATTTTAAGTAGAAATATAATATTATTAATTTACTTTGGAGAAAGATCATTTTATTATTTAATGCATTTGATTTACCATCTGAAACCTAAAGGTTAGAAGGAGCTTTGCAGCAATTATTTGTTGACCATCCATGGATTACCAGGCAGTTTGTGTGTTAGCAGGTCCTGACATTTAAGTTTTGGTCGAGTAAAAGGAGCAAAAGGAGAATATAACAGTTTCGTCAGAGGAGTGACTCAGGTTACAAGGACTGCACCTGGGAGTCATGGACTCTTAAGAAAGAATGGGTGTGTTATAGCTGACGTAAGGAATGGACTGTGCTAGTTTGGCAGCTGTAAGCAGCAATGACGCAATACACTAGACACTGAGATCTACAGGAATTTAATGAAAGACATAACTGTACAGTGAAACTTGGGGGAACACATCAGTGACGAGGAAATCTTAAGTAGCTTAATGTTTGCATCTAGCACCTGTTATTTTATGGTAATGAGTTAAGCACCATGTAGTGTTGCAACATTTAAAAATTCATTATTTTTTATTGCTAAAATATTCCCTTTGCATTGTGGCAGTTTTTATTTCTTTCATAGGATAAAGGAAAAAAGAATCAGCTGCATTGAATACAAAGGCCTTAATGTTTGTAGGCATGGGGGAGCAGCTATATTGCTCACCTATGCATTTCAGTGCTCTGCCTACACTCTGCAGAAGGTGTTTCAGTTATAAGATATGCATTTAGTTTAATTTGAGCTAGTTACATTCTATGCTGCAAATGAATGACTTGTTATTTCAAGGCAATGTTAAAAATTGCTATTTTATTTATATACAAAAGTAATCAAATTAATCTATTCCTATGGATATTTTCACTCCCAATTACATGCATTCAGAATTAACAACATAATAATACAATGTGGTCAAATCCTTTATATTTTACAACATAACCAAAGTTTTCCCTCTAAGAAAGGCCACTTATTCATCCACCTCATTGAATTTGGGTCTTAGTTAAGCTCGGGAACTAAAACACTTCAGTTAAGATGCATGTTTCTGGTTTTTTTTTTTTTTTTTGTGCTTTTTTTATTTAAGGCCTGAAGTTGTATATTCAGCTTACACTGTCTATTTGGTTTTACCGAGGAACAGTTAACACTCCTGTCTGCTGCCTTCTGTTCAGAATCATTTTGTGGGGAACTAATTGAAATTTGATTGTCCCCCTCAGAGGACTGACGTGTACCACAAAAGTTTGCAACTTTGCAATTCAGTTGGCAAAGAAAAGACACTGAATAGTTTATCCTGGTTCCAGGATAAACTGTCAATTATGTGCATAAATCTTATTGCGTAATATGTGCTTTTTAATATTAAGAAACTCCAATTGCAAAACATTTTTTGAGAAGAATAATAATTCCAATTGTATGTGGAGATCCCTTAGCTAGCTTTGGTCAATCTTTGGTCAGTCACTGTAATGTTCAGATGATATGGTGTTCGCTGTTGACCCCTCAGGCCTGTAGGCTACTGGCATAAGCCAAAGTCCGGTGGAAAGTGGAGGCTGAGCTATTGAACACTAGTCTTTCCAAGCATCTCATTGAGAGCAGAGGATTTTGG